GCTCTAGGCTAGCACTCAGCCTTTTTTGCCACATTGCTAATTTGGGCTTACATTTCTGAGTAGTTTGTTGGAGAGTCTCACAGTCTTTCCTGCCAGGATGGCTTTAATGAACTGTGATCCTCAGGTCTCAGCTTCCTGAGTAACTAAGATTACAGACATGAATCACTAGCATCCGATTTATAATAGTGTTTTTAGTTGTTATTATAAAGATGGTGTACATATGGGTTAGAGTTACGTAAGTCAGGTAATGAATACTTTTTTTTTTTTGCCAGTCCTGGGGCTTGGGCTTGGGCCTGGGCACTGTCCCTGAGCTTCTTTTGCTCAAGGCTAGCACTACCACTGGAGCCACAGTGCCATTCCAGCTTTTTCTGTTTATGTGGCACTGAGGAATGGAACCCAGGGCCTCATGCATACTGGGCAAGTACTCTACCACTAAGCCAATTCCCTGCCCATGAGTATATCTTTTGGGATATTGTTGCCTCTTCCCTCACTCTCAGTTTTCCCTCCAGTCCCCACCCACAAATTGTATATTTCATTTTCAACATAGTGTCTAGTGAGTACCACTGCTGCATTTGTTCACCCTTTTTTTCTCCATTTCTGTGCCCATCCTTATCCTCCCAAAGACAGGTAAATGGATAAGACAAAAAAAAAAAAAGTATCTTTTTTCTATTTTGGGGGGTTCACTGTGCTTAATATTATTTAAATGATCAGGGGTACATAGGCATTGTGTCTTTGTATTCCTCCCCTAAGAGTATCCTCCTTTGGTCTCACTGTGTGTGAATGCCTAGAGTCCTGTATAATTTATCATGACCCAGTTAGATCTATTGACCTAACTCCTTGTACATTTATCATCATTATCATCATCATCACCATCATAATCATCATTTTGATTGTGGGGCTTGAACTCAGGGCCTGGGCACTGTCCCTTGATCTCTGTGGCTCAAAGTAGCACTCTACCACTTTGAACCACAGCTCCACTTCAGGTTTCTGAGTAGCTAATTGGAGATAAGAGTCTCATAGGCACGTTTATGCCTGGTCTGGCTTTGAACCAAGAACCTCAGACCTCAGCCTCCCGAGTAGCTAGGATTACAGCCACCAGTGCCCAGCTCCTTGTACAATTAATATATGCTAGAATAATTAAAATGGAGGGCAAAGCGCTTGCCTAGCAAGTGCAGTGTCCTGGGTTTGATCCCCAGTACAAAAAAAAAAAAGCATGCTTTTATGTCATCTGCAGGGCAATAGATGGACCTAGAGCAAATCATGTTAGATGAGTTATGCTGAACCAAAAACCAATGGTGCAAGTTTTCTCACATGCAGAAGCTAGACCTAGAATGGGGACATGAGCCACTAACACCCAGTGTTTAATGATTTTTGCCAAATGAGTCAATATCATTACCAAGCCTGAGTGTTTTCAACATCCAGAAAGTTCCCTGGAACTCCTTTGTAGTCAGTCCTTCTCTTCCTGTCCCTCCTCTTTGACAGCCACTGATCTCTGTCCAGATAGTTTGTCCTTTTCCTGAATGTCATCCTAATGGAATATAGTAGCATGTAGCCTTTTGTGTCTGGCTTCTTTAACCCAGCATATTGTTTACATGTGGCTGCAGCTTGATCGGTTTTGGTTTTTTGGGTTTTTTTTTTTTTTTTTGGTCCGGTCGTGGGGCCTGAACTCTGGGCCTGGGTGCTGTCCCTCAGCTCTTCAGCTCAAGGCTAGCGCTCTACCACTTGAGCCACAGCACCACTTCTGGCTTTTTTCTTTTTGCTTATGTGGTGCTGAGGAATCGAACCCAGGGCCTCATGCATGCAAGGCAAGCACTCTACCACTGAGCCACCTTCCCAGCCCCAGCTTGATGGTTTTTATTGCTGAGTAGTGCCTTGTAAAGCACTAGTGTCCAAGAGCTGCTGCAGCTCAGTATTATACCACACTGGCTTGAACAACAGAAATGTGTCATCTGTTATAGAGGCTAGAAGTCTGAAGCGAGTGTCTACAGGGTTGGTCTTTGTGAGGTTCATACCTTTGCTGACTTTTGGAGACCCCATATAAAGATGCCACAAGTTCCTGAGTTAGAGCCCTCAATAATGGTCTCATAACTTGATTACCTTTGGAATGGACTCTGTTTCTACACTTAGCTACGGGAATTAAGGCCACAGAATATCATTGTCAGCAAGACACAATTCAGTGTATAATCTATGTGGATGATAACAATTTGTTTGATGGACATTTGAATTGTTCTCATCATTCTAAATAAAACAAAGATAAAATTTGGTTTAATCATTTTTTCCAGCCTATTATCATGTGGAAGAGAAGGAGTTATTCCTCTGCTTAAATTGGTACCTTCTAACTTGTCCATTAAAAGTGCTAGCAAGACACGGAATGGAAAGGAGAGACTCAAAAAAACAAAACAAAGCAAAACAAAACCAAAAAACCACCAAAGCAAAGCAAATGTGATGAAATGAGTTTATCTAATGTAATATTTTCTCTTGTTTCACTTATATTTAGCATTTCCTATAATGGGGATGGGGCATGTAAATTTTGTCTTGTGTGTTGCATAACGAACTACTGGAATAGGTCAAGACTAATTAAGTGTTGGGTTCTGTATCACTCAGTCTAAGCTTGTCCCTCCTTTGTCTAGACGCTTCCCTCTAGCTGCTGTGGTGATTTCCTCAGTGTCTTGGTCATTGTTCTGCAGACCTTGTGAGAGAAGCAGTCCTAGGGCTTTAGGACTGAAGTGAATGTGAGGTGAGATGTTTGTGAGGTAGCTTCCGAAGACATGGCCTGCTGGCTCAAGGGGCAGATCAGAAATATGGGGATTATAAAGAAAATGTCAGGCCGGCCACTGGTAGCTGACACTTGTAATCCTAGCTACTCAGACTGAGATCTGAGGATCACGGTTCAAAGACAGCCCAGGCGGGAAAGTCCGTGAGACAATAAACCACCAGAAAACCAGAAGTGGTGCTGTGGCTCAAGTCATAGAGTACTTTTCCTTGGGCTGGGAAGGTGGCTCAGTGGTAGAGTGCTTGCCTTGCATGCCTGAGGCCCTGGGTTCGATTCCTCAGCACCATATAAGCAAAAAGAAAAAAGCCGAAGGTGGCGCTGTGGCTCAAGTGGTAGAGTGTTAGCTTTGAGCTGAAGAGCTGAGGGACAGTGCCCAGGCCCAGAGTTCAGGCCCCACGACCAGACCAAAAAAAGAGTACTTTTCCTTGAGCTGCAGACCTGAGGGACAGTGCCTAGGCCCAGAGTTCAAGCCCCACAACTGACAAAAAAGAAAAAAAAAGTAGACTTTCAATTGTTTTAGTAAAGGTTAATTAAGCATTTAGTATGTGTTGTTTACTATGTACGGGCAAAGAGGAGTGATTTAATTGTTGTAGAGGAGTGAGTTAAGTCCTGTTAAGAAGTTTTCTCTATGTAGGAGACCACTGAGACCTTTTCAGTAAGGTTTACATGATCAGCCATGACCTCTGGCAGGGCATGGAGGCAAAGTAGATGTTATTGTTGAGTGTAAAAGGACAAGTAGAAAAAAGTTGATTTTAAAAAAATGAACAGCTGGGCTGGGAAGGTGGCTCAGTGGTAGAGCGCTTGCCTTGCATGCATGAGGCCCTGGGTTCGATTCCTCAGCACCACATAAGCAAAAAGCCGAAAGTGCCGCTGTGGCTCAAGTGGTAGAGTGCTAGCCTTGAGCTGAAGAGCTGAGGGACAGCGCCCAGGCCCAGAGTTCAGGCCCCACGACCAGACCCCCCAAAAAAAAAAGAACAGCTGGGTGCCTGTGGCTCATAAACTTGTCATCCTAGCTACTCAGGAGGCTGAGATCTGAGGATCATGGTTCAAAGACAATCCCAGGCAGGAAAGTCCGTGAGACTCTTATCTCCAATAAACCACCGGAAAAGTGAAAGTGGGGTTGTGGCTCAAGTGTAGAGCGCTAGCCTTGAGCTGATATGCTGAGGGACAGTGCCAAAGCAAAAAAAAAAAAGACATTGCCCAAGGCTGGGAATCTGGCTTAACAGTAGAGTGTTTACCTAGCATACAGAAGCCCTGGGTTTAATTCCTCGGTACCACATACAGTAAAAAAAGCCGGAAGTAGTGCTGTGGCTCCAAGTGGTGCTGTGGCTCCAAGCATTATCTTTGAGCAAAAGAAGCTTAGGGACAGTGCCCAGGCCCTGAGTTCAAGCCCCAGGACTGGCAAAAAAATAAAAATAAAAGACATTGCCCAGTGCCAGTGGCCTATAATCGTAACTACTCAAGATGCTGAGAAATGAGGATTGAGGTTCAAAGTCAGCCTGGGCAGTACTCAAGATGCTGAGAAATGAGGATTGAGGTTCAAAGTCAGTCTAGGCGGGAAAGTCTGTAAGACTCTTGTTTCCAATTAAGCACCAAAGCCAGAAGTAGAGATAGGGCTCAAGTGGTATAGTGCTAACTTTGCTTTAAAAAAACAAAACAAAAAAAATGGGTGGCTTACGCCTGTAATCCTAGCTACTCAGGAGGCTGAGATCGAGGATCAGGGTTCAAAGCCAGCCTGGGCAGGAAAGTCCGGGAGACTATTTTTTTTTTTTTTTTTGGTCGGTCCGGTGGCTTGAACTCTGGGCCTGGGCACTGTCCCTGTGCTCTTCAGCTCAAGGCAAGTGCTCTACTGCTTGGCCCACAGCGCCACTTATGGTTTTCTAGTGGTTTATTGGAGATAGGAGTCTCACGGACTTTCCTGCCCAGGCTGGCTTTGAACCGTGATCCTTAGATCTCAGCCTCCCGAGTAGCTAGGATTACAGGTGTGAGCCACTGGCACCAGGGAGACTCTTTATCTCCAATAAACCACTAGATAACTGGAAGTGGTGCTGTGGCTCAAGTGGTGGAGTGTTCGCCTTGAGCTGAAGAGCTGAAGGACAGCGCCCAGGTCCAGAGTTCAAGCCCCAGGACAAACAAAAAAAAAAAGATTAAAAAGATAAGACATTGCTTTTTTTTGCTTGGTTTTGGAAGGAACCTGGTCTGACTGACTGTATTCTTACTCCTTCAGCACAGGAGAAAACGGCGCTCCACACCTTTAGCTACCTCCATGCCTTCTTCACAAACGGGAGAGAAAAGCCCTTATTTTCAGACTGCAGAGATCTCGCTCTGGACTGTGGTGGCTGCTCTTCAGGCTGTGGAGAAGAAGATGGAGTCCCAGGCTGCTCGGCTACAGAACCTGGAGGGACGCACAGGGACCGCCGAGAAGAAACTGGCTGACTGCGAGAAGACCGCCGTGGAGTTCGGGAACCAGCTGGAGGGCAAGTGGGCCGTGCTGGGGACCCTGCTGCAGGAGTACGGGCTGCTGCAGCGGCGCCTGGAGAATGTGGAGAACCTGCTGCGGAACAGGAACTTCTGGGTCCTGCGGCTGCCCCCAGGCACCAAGGGCGAAGCCCCCAAGGTAGCTCCACTAAGGGTGAAAAGTTACTAGCCAAGATTGCAAATTGAGGGGCTAGGAATGTGGCTTAGTGGGAGAGTGCTTGCCTAGCATGCATGAAGCCCTGGGTTCGATTCCTCTGTACCACATAAACAGAAAAGGCAAGAAATGGTGCTGTGACTCAAGTGGTAGAGCACTAGCCTTAAGCAAAAGAGCTCAGGGACAGTGCTCAGGCCCTGAGTGCAAGCCCCAGGACTGGCAAAAAAAAAAAAAAGATTGCAAATCGAGGTGAGTTGAGATGCTCATGTGTGTCATTTGTGATTGTAGGTGTCCAAGTCCCTTGAGAACGATGGTGTCTGCTTCTCTGAGCAGGAGTGGGAGAACCTGGAGGAATGGCAGAAGGAACTGTACAGAAACGTCATGCAGAGCAACTACGAGACGCTGGTTTCTCTCAGTGAGTTCAGTTCTCACCCAAGGATTCCTGGCTAGTAGCTAGTGCCTGAAACTACATCTGTGACTCTGGCTGGCCCTGGATCCTCTGCTGGCCTATACTAGGAGGAGAAAGGGGGTGTCCAGGAGAGGTCTGCTCCCTCACAGGGCTTTGGGAAGGGTCAATGTTATATCACTTCTTGACACTATTTGCTAATATATAAGATCACTACATCAGAATCCCTGGCTAGGTTCCTCACATTGTTTTTACTATGTTAAGATAATTTGAGAAGAGATTCTGTTAGCCTGGTGCCAGTGGCTTTCACTTGTAATCCTAGCTGCTCAGTAAACTTAGATCTGAGGATCCCACTTTGAAGCAGGCAAGTCCATGAGACTTGTTCCACTTAACCACCAAAAAGCTGAAAATGGAATTATGACTCAAGTGGTACAGCACTACACTTAAGCACAAAAGCTCAGGGACAGCACCCAGACCCTGAGTTCAAGCCCAAGAATGACAACCAAAAGAAAAAAAAAGAGATGCCAGGCACCGGTGGCTCATGCCTATAATGCAAGCTACTTAGGAGGCTGTAATCTGAGGATCATGGTTCAAAGCCAGCCTAGGCAGGAAAGGCCATGAAGCTCTTATCTCTAATTAACCATCAGAAAACTGGAAATAGCGCTATTGCTCAAAGTGGTAGAACGCTTACCTTGAGCAAAAGAGCTCAGGGACAGAACCCAGGCCCCAAGTTCAAGCCCCTCGACCAACAACAACAAAAAAGAAAAGAATCCTGTGTTACCTGGGTTGGAGGCATACAGCACAGGTTGGCCCTTTTCGTGGAACTTGGCTAGTTTTAGAGTTGTTTATTTTATGTAGGTTAGAAGTGCTGCTTAACTATATAAATATTAGTGAGTATAACAATACTACACAATTTATTTGGTAGACAAGATCTTTTAAATTATAGATCCATGGAGAAGTATCAAGGAGGCCAGTGTGGCTAGACCTGAGTGAGGAGAGGAAAGTAACGGGACTAGAGAGGTGACCAGATGACCTTAGCTGGATCTCCTTCCTTACCTGTCACAGGCCTACCTTACCTGGAAGGGCCTCAGCAGGGATGAAATTAGATACCCAAGAGGCCTTGGCAAGACTTGAGCTACGTCCATGTGTGGGGGGAGGTAGAGCAGCAGGGCCTGAGCCTGGAGCAGTAGAAATAGCAGTGAGCTGGAGCAATGGTCAAGATTAGTTTTAGCACCGCTTCCCTGCCAGGGTCTCTTTCAGCAGCAACAGACCAGTGAGTGGTGAGCTCTAACTCTGCTGGGTTCTCACTATGCTCTTCTCAACGCAGAGGTCCTTGGCCAGCCGGAAGAAGAAGAAGCAGAATTGGGTACCGAGATGCTGGGTGACTTGGAGGAAGAAGGCCCTCATGGAACCCACCTGGGTGAGTGGCTTCAGAATATTCTATTCTACTAGCCCTCACCCCTATGCTGCAGGTCCTGTAGCTTACAAGGAGCTTTCCCACTGCTGCACTGCCAAACCTGGACCCACCCTATCCGTAACCTCTATCAGTGACTCCTCTTTGACTATCATTAGTTCACCTGTTATGAGTGTTTCTTAACTCTTCCCCCTCCAGAGAGCTGTGAAGACTGTACAGCCCCCTTTTCATGGGCAGATCAGAGCGTCTTGAGAGAAGGAGACGCTGGAAAGGGATTTGTAAACAGATAGACACAGATTTTTAAGCTGGGGGTTTAGTGTACTTTTCTTAAAATTGATAAACACTCCTAAAATTTGGTATGGTTGTTCAGTGTATTGTCATTTTTCATTGAGATTAAATATCATTGGTAGATAGCTTTGGAGAACCCCCCCAACAGTCTTCTCTAAGAGTAATATATCCACATTTCTAGTCAAGTTAGGAATCCTTGTCAGTTTCACCCTCTTCCAGATTGTCTCAGTTGATTTTTTTGCTGAGGAGCTTTGATTTGACCCCTCCTTTTTTTTGGGGGGGGGGTCCAGTCGTGGGCCTGGACTCTGGGCCTGGGCACTGTCTTTCAGCTCTTCAGCTCAAGGCTAGCGCTCTACCACTTGAGCCACAGCGCCACTTCTGGGTTTTTTTTCCCTGCTTATGTGGTGTTGAGGATTTGAACCCAGGGCCTCATGCATGCAAGGCAAGCGCTCTACCACTGAGCCACCTTCCCAGCCCCTGATTTGACCCCTTCTGAAGTCAGAGATGCCAAAGGTGCTGGAATGTGATCTTTTGTGTCTTGTTTCTTGCAGTGGATGGGGCCATGGGCAAGCAGGAGGGCTTGGCAGGTCTTCCTAGCAGATTCGTTGGCACTGCTGAAGAGCAGGCATTCCTGGGTTCGGAGCAGGCCGAGCTCTGGGATGGTCAGGATGGTTCTGTCCTCTTAGAATCAGGCCCTGGGGTTTCCAACTTGGAAGAACCCACGGAGGACAACAGAGACCTCGCCAGTGCCAGAACTCTGGACTGCCCACAGAAGCAGAAGTCCCGTAGGCAGGTACTCTTGGGTCAGGAATGTGAACCAGGCCCAAAGCTGAAAAGGGACGCTTCTGGCCCCTATGAGTGTTCTGAGTGTGAGATCAGCTTCCGCTCTAAGCACCAGCTAGTCACACATCTGCAGAGCCACTCAGGATGGGAGCCTCGCCCTGCCACAGAGCCAGAGGAGAGCCATAGGCCCCGGCCACGGCTGAAACCACAGGCCAGGAAGACAAAGCTGTATCATTGTGATGCGTGCCAGCGGAGCTTCAGCTGTAAACTGAGCCTCATGACCCACCAGCGCTGCCACCTGCAGGAGGGGCCCAGCGCCAGCCCGCGTGTCCAGGAGAGGTTCTCACCTAATAGCCTTGTCGCGCTACCTGGCCACATCCCCTGGAGGAAAAGCCGGAGCTCCCTCATCTGTGGGTACTGTGGCAAGAGCTTCAGCCACCCGTCTGACCTGGTCCGGCACCAACGCATCCACACAGGCGAGCGGCCCTACAGCTGCTCTGAGTGTGAGAAGAGCTTTGTGCAGAAGCAGCACCTCCTGCAGCATCAGAAAATCCACCAGCGGGAGCGGGGCGGGCCCGCCCCAGAGCCGGGAAGGCCTAATGGCTTACTTTAAGGGCGCAGCCCCTCGCCGTCGGGGGCGGAGAGGGGTGGCATTGATCTCCCCGAAAAGACACTGTGTGGAGTCAGAGACTGACTGCATCCTGAGGGGAACTTCTGGGTTGCCTTCCCTTGACCAAGTATGAGCCGAGCCCAGATGCTGTCCTGAGACATGTGGGGCGGGGCTGGCGTCTCAGCCCATTCTCCCTGCCAGCTGGGTTTGCTATCTCTGGCCCCTTCAGATGTCTACTTTTCTCATCCTTCTGAGATTTAGGGGCTGGGGTATACATTCTCACCCCTCAGGGACTGCTGGCCAGTTCTAGGGCTTCTCCCAGAATTTTCCATCTTCCCATCTTCTCACAGGAGTGAGCTGGTGTGTGGAAAAGTTGTGGGTGGTGTGACTCTCCATTTTCCCTATTGTAGTCTCTTTGTTAATAACAGGTAGGAATAATTTAAATTAACTGCTTTATCCTGCTTTTGTAGTTAGATTCTTACTGATTTTAAAAATATATAGCCCAATACTTTTTTTCCCTTTTTTAATTTCAAGAGTTGAAGTTGTTCCTAATACAGGAATTGGGCCTACCCTCTAGGAGGGAATCATTCATGGGGCTCTTTTAGCCCACCCACACTTCAGCTGGAGAACTGGGCTTCCCCTGGATGGTGGTCATTGCTCAGAAGGACCAAGAGGAAAAGGTGGAGGGAGACCCTGAACCCCCTGCAAGAATGAAAACTACAAGGGAGCCGGAGCCAGTGGCGGGGGGTTGCAGGGTCTCACCGCGGCCTCTCCTGCCCTGCCCTGGCTTTCTGTGCCTGCTGGGTTAGAAGACTGCTGTTTGAGTTTGCTCCTCTTACCTGAGCTGTCACTTGAGGTTGTTCAAAGTACACTTTCCCAATTCTGTCTCAGAGGTGATGGACAGAAGTGCAGTGCTCCCTCACAAGTGTTGAGACTGGCCCGATGGGCGTGGTTCCTAGGGCTTACGTGAATGTCTTTTTGAATGATTTACAGTTGCCTAGAATAAAACCTGATTTCAGAAAAAAAAAAAAAAAAAAAGCTGATATCAGATTTGTCAAGACATTTGTCTCCATTTGTGAAGGACACGAACATTCCTGGGACCAAAGGGGAAGAGGTTCCTGACCTGTACTTTTTCTTTAGTGTAGGACAGAGAACCCAGAGGACCTACCCCAGGGCAATGGACGGCTGACCATCTGGGTGGAGGTTTTTGGGAGGTAGACAGAGTACCAAGAAAAGTAAGGCAAGTACCACAAGAGAACTAGGCATCTGTGAGGAAAGCCGAGATAGATTCCTGTGTGGACTGCACCAAAGATGCCTGCGCTGTGTCCCATCATCATGATTATTCTGCCTGCCCCTTGGGGAGTAGTTTAATGTAGCCAGTTTCCTGACTTGCATTGCGTGTGTGAGGTGGGAGATAAAATAATAAAATATAGTCTTGGCTCTCCAGCAAAGTGAAGTCTCCGTGAAGCAGTGAGCAAATTTCCCTTAAGGCAGGGACAGTTGTGTTAACAGGTGAACCACTGGTAACATTTATTGAGCACTTACGTGCTAGATAACTTTTAATTTCTTTACATTAAAGTAGTCTTGGGCACTGGTGGCTCATACCTGTAATCCTAGCTACCCAGGAGGCTGGAGTTTGAGGATCAAGAGTCAAAGCCATCCTGGCAGGAAAGCCCTTGAGATTCACCTCCAATTAACTACCAAAAAAGAAAGAAAGAAAGTAGAGCTGTGGCCAAGTGATAGAGCACTAGCTTTGAGGAAAAAAAAAAACCAAAACCCAGAAAACAGTAATCATGCCCTGAGTTAAAGCCTCAAGACTGGCACCAAAACAATAAGGGGTGGGAAGGTGGCTCAGTGGTAGAGTGCTTGCCTTGCATGCATGAGGCCCTGGGTTTGATTCCTCAGCACCACATAAGCAGAAAAAGATGGAAGTGGTGCTGTGCCTCAAGTGGTAGAGAGCCTTGAGCTGAAGAGCTGAGGGACAGCGCCCAGGCCCAGAATTCAGGGACCACTACCGACCGAAAAAAAAAAATGTCTTGAGCACCAAGGTGCTGGTGGTTTATGCCTGTAATTCTAAATTTTCAGGAGGCTGAGACCTAGAGGATAATGGTTCAAAGCCAATGTGGGCAGAAAAGTCCTTAAAACTCCATCTCCAGCTATCCAGCAAAAAGCTGGGCTGGAGGCATGGCTCTCATGACAGTATCAATCATGAGCAAGTAAAGTTGGTGAGTGTCAGGTTCCTAAGTTCAAGTCCTGTTCTGGCTAAGAATAAAGTAGTTTTCTCCAGGCGCCGTGCTCACGCCTGTAATCCTAGCTACTCAGGAGGCTGAGATCTGAGGATCGTGGTTCGAAGCCAGCCCAAGCAGGAAAGTCCATGAGACACTTACCTCCAATAAACCACTAGAAAACTGGAAGTGGCACTGTGGCTCAAGTGGTAGAGCACTCACCTTGAGCTGAAGAGCTGAGGGACAGCACCGAAGCCCAGAGTTCAAGCCCCACGACAGACCAAAAAAAAAAAAAAGAATAAAGTAGTTCTCAAACAACCCTGTCTTGATTCACCCTTGTTTACATATGCCTGGAGGCACTGTGGCCTCCATATGCTTGAAAGCTCATATAACCACAGGGTGCTATTGCTTCTGGAGGTAAGAATCCTCTGTTGCCCAGAGGGTCTCTGTGGGAGCAGCACCCGGGGGCTGCAAGTGCAGGTTTAGGCTCCATCTTAAACCAAGTGGGATGAGCATCTTGACAAGATTTCCAGGTAACTGTGCACAGGAGCATTCCCTGAATGATGCAACAGATGAACCCTCCTGTCTGCTTCAACTGTCCCACACTGCCAGTCTGTGCTGAGAGGTGCTGAGAAGAAAACAACAGGAAGTGGACTGTGGGAAGCACAGGAGGGACCAACTTACATGAGCAGATGTCAGACTCTACTTTTGTCCTTCCAGTTCCCAGGGTTGAGACTCAGCTACATACTCAGGAGTTCCTCAGGAACCTATCTATCCTACCCCTCACTTTCTACTACCAGGCTTGTCCTAGAACAGTTGCACATGGGCTTTTCTGAGCCCTCCAAAAGAATTCACCAGCTACCAATCAGGATCAAACTCTGGTACAGAACCAAAGGCTTCCACAGCCTACCCCACCTCTTCACCTGCTGCTCCCAGCTGCCTTGCTCCTGCGTTAGGTTTCCTGCACTACTGACTGCAGAAGCCCTGAGCTCTTCCCAGAGAGGCCCATCTCCATCTCAGCGTACCAGCTTCTGGGAGAGTTCCTCACCTTTTTTCTTTTTTTTTGTCGGTCGTGGGGCTTGAACTCTGGGCCTGGGCGCTGTCCCTCAGCTCTTCAGCTCAAGGCGAGCGCTCTACCACTTGAGCTACAGCGCCACTTCTTGTTTTCTGGTGGTTTTTATTGGAGATAGGAGTCTCACGGTCTCTCCTGCCCGGGCTGGCTTTGAACCGCGATCCTCAGATCTCAGCCTCCTGAGTAGCTAGGATTACAGGCGTGAGCCACCAGCGCCCAGCCCTTTTTTCTTTCTTCCTTCCTTTCCCTCCCTCCCTCCCTGCTGCCTCTCTCTCTCTCTCTCTTTTTCTTTTTCTTTGTCATGGGGCTTGAACTGTGGGCCTGGGTATTGTTCCTCAGCTCTTCAGCTCAAGGCCAGTGCTCTGCTACTTGAGCCACTGTGACACTTCTGGTTTTCTGAGTGGTTTATTGGATGGAGATAAGAGTCTCATGGACTTTCCTACCCAGGCTGGCTTTGAACTGAGATCCTCAGATCTCAGTCTCCCGAGTAGCTAGGATTACAGGCATGAGCCACCGGTGCCCGGCTCTTTTCCTTCCTTCCTTCCTTCCTCTCTCCCTCCCTCCCTCCCTTCCTTCCTTCCTTTTTCTTTCCTTTCTTTCCCTCCCTCCCGCCCCCTTCCTCCCTCCACCTCTCCCTCTCTTCTTTCTGCCACTTCTGGGGCTAGAACTCAAGGCCTGGACACTGTTCCTGATCTGTTTTCCTCTCCCCACCCCCACCCCCCATCCCCTGGTGTGGGGCTTGAACTCTGGGCCTGGGTGCTGTCCGAGCCCTTCCAGCTCAAGGCAAGAGCTCTACCACTTGAGCCACAACACCACTTCTGGTATTGAAGGTAAGAGTCTCACAGACTTTCCTGCGTAGGCTGGCTTTGAACTGCAATCCTGAGGTCTCAGCCTCCTAAGTAGCTAGGATTGCAGGCGTGAGCCACCAACTCCTGGCTTCGAGTTACATTTATTGCTCAAGGCTAGCATTCTACCACTTGAGCCATAGCACCACTTTCGGCTTTATGCTTTATCCTATTTATGTGGTAGTGAGGATTTAAATCCAGGGCTTCATGCATCTGCTAGGCAAGCACTGCCTGAGCCGTCTTTGAACTGTACCCACAGATCTCAGCCCCTTGAGTAGCCAGGATTACAGGCATGAGCCACCAGCACCAGCTTTCCTTTTTTTTTTTTGCCAGTTCTGGGGCTTAAACTCAGGGTCTGGGCAATGCCCCTGAGCTTCTTTTGCTCAAGGCTACCCCTCTACCACTTGAGCCACAGCACCATTTCCAGCTCTTTCTGTGTATATGGTGTTGAGGAATCAAACCTAAGGCTTCATGCATGTTAGGCAAGCATGCTACCACTAAGCCACATTCCCAGTCCCCAGCTTTCTAGTTTCTTTTTCTACAGGTGTTTTGCACAGCCCCTTGCTTGTCTAGCTCAGTATTCCATTCTAGTACTCCTCATATATTTTTTTTAAGTAGGGTCTCACTATGTAACTCTGGCTGGCCTTGAATTTTACAGATATGTACCATGTTGCCCAGCTCAATACGAAGTGTTTTTTTCTTTTGTGGGCAGATTACCCATAGCCATCCACGCATTAGGGCAGTGCTCTATTGAGTTACATCTGCAGCCTCCTGCAAAGCTCTCCAGGGGAAGCAAGGATAAGTCAGATGGAGATCTTAGGGCTGGGAAGGTGGCTCAGTGGTAGAGTGCTTGCCTTGCATGCATGAGGCCCTGGGTTCCATTCCTTAGCACCACATAAGCAAAAAGAAGAAAGCCAGAAGTGGCACTGTGGCTCAGTGGTAGAGCGCTAGTCTTGAACTGAAGAGCTCAGGGACAGCACCTAGGCACTGAGTTAAAAAAAAAAAAAAAGGGCTGGGAAGGTGGCTCAGTGGTAGAGCGCTTGCCTTGCATGCCTGAGGCCCTGGGTTCAATTCCTTAGCACCACATAGGCAAAAAGAAAAAAGCCAGAAGTGGAACTGTGGCTCAAGTGGTAGAGCACTAGTCTTGAGCTGAAGAGAGACAGCGCCCAGGCCCAGAGTTCAGGCCCCACTACCGGATCAAAAAAAAAAAAAAAAAGTCTTATTGACAGATGGAGATCTTGCTCTGGGTTTACAGGCTGCTAAGGCAATTCAAGTCCTGGGGCTTGAACTCAGGGGCCTGGGCATTGTCCCTGAGCTGCTTTTGCTACAGGCTACTGCTCTACAACTTGAGCCACAGCTCTACTTGCTGCTTTTTTTGGAGATGTGTGTGATTTATTGGAGATAAGAGTCTCATGGACTTTCCTGCCCAGGCTGGCTCTGAACCATGATCCTCAGACCTCAGCCTCCTGAGTAGCTAGGATTGTAGTTGTGAGCCACTGGTGCCCAGCAGGGATATCTTTTGAAGAACATCGTTAAGTAGCTGTACAAAAGAACCTCCACTCAATAAAAGTTTATGAATACAACACATCTTGATTATTGGGGGGGAAAAAAAGGTAAAGTGAGGCTAACGAGCTGTAGGAATTCAGAAAATTAAACACATTTCTCCTCTTCAATCCATTTCCACATTCTTTGTTTTGGATATTAACATTTATTTATGTAAGGTATTGGACTTGAACTCAGGAAGGGTCTGGGCACTGTCGCCGAGCTTTTGTGTTCAAGGCTGGCACTCTGCCACTTGAGCCTCAGTCCACTTCTAGCATTTTGTTGCCAGTCCTGGGGCTTGAATTCAGGGCCTGGGTGCTGTCCCTGAGCTTCTTTTGCTCAAGGCTAGCACTCTACCACTTGAGCCACAGCATCACGTCCATTTTTTTTCCTGTTTATGTGGTACTAAGGAATGGAATGTTAGGCAAGCACTCTACCATTAGACCACATTCCTAGCCCCTACTGCTAGCTTTTTGATGGTTAATTGGAGATGTCTCCTGGGTTTTTCTGCTCAAGCTGTCTTTGAACCTTGGTCCTCAGGTCTCAGCCTCCGGAGTAGCTAGGATTATAGGTGTGAGCCATTGTGCCTGGCTTCCCTTCGCTTTTTTATCAAGGCTGGCACTCTACCACTTGAGTCAGAGTTCCACTTCTGGCTCCTTGCTAGTTAAATAGAGATGAGCCTTGTGGACTTTCCTGCCCTAGATTTTTTTTTAAACCATGTAGACAGCCCACTCCTGATGGTTTTGAACTTCAAACCTCAGATTTTAGCTTCAAAGTAGGATTAAAGGCATGAGCCACTGATGCCCAACTAACCTTTTTTTTTTTTTTTTTTTTTTGGTAGTGGAGCCTGAACTCGGGTCCTGGGTGCTGTCCCTCATCTCTTCAGCTGAAACAAATCCAAATACAGAAACAAAAACTACAGATTAATTTCTTTTTTTGGGGGGGGGAGAGGTCCGGTCGTGGGGCCTGAACTCTGGGCCTGGGCTCTGTCCCTCAGCTCTTCAGCTCAAGACTAGCGCTCTACCACTTGAGCCACAGCACCACTTCTGGCTTTTTTCTTTTTGCTTATGTGGTGCTGAGGAATCGAACCCAGGGCCTCATGCATGCAAGGCAAGCACTCTACCACTGAGCCACCTTCCCAGCCCCCAGATTAATTTCTTGTAGGAAGAATTTACTGGATTGTTGGACAAAGACCATAAGATGAGAAATGCAGAAAAAGAAAACCTGAACTACACAGAACATGTTTTACAGTCTGTCCAAGAGCTGATTCTGGTTTTCCAGAGTCTTCTCTGGTTTCAGAGTAGGGAAATCTGGCCTTGAGGAAGTGGTTTATTCAACATGCCTCAGGGCTTCTTAGAGATGGGATTCTGTAAGGGAAAACAGTAGCTGTGTCCCTGTCTTTAGTTTTGAGGCTCATTTGCAAGCAAGGAGGGCAGCAATGGCCAGCCTGGGTCGGCAGCACAGGCAAAAGCTCAGGCTGTCTAGGAATGGCTTGGCTGTCATCCCAGCTGGTGCCAAGCGGGCATTCCAACCAAGTCTGGGTACCGCAGAGGGGGTGTCAGGGACTGCAGGGTAGGGAGAAAGAGATCTGGAATCACAGAGATTAAGATTCCCAAACTAAGGTATTGGAGGGAGAGCCTCTCCCAGCCAGGTGTGTGGATTGAATCCCAGTTCTTGCTCCTGTGAGGCAAGTGCTCTACCACTGAGCCACACCCCAGCCACTAACTAGGCTGGTTCCTTTTTCTCGTGTGTGTGTGTGTGTGTGTGTGTGTGTGTCTCTGTGTGTGTCTCTGTGTGTGTATCTGTGTGTGTGTCTGTGTGTCTGTGTCTGTGTCTCCTAGGGCTTGCACTCAGGCCAGGGCCTGGATGCTGTCTCTGAGCTTTTGCTCTCCAGGCTAGTGTTACACACGGAGCCACAGAGCTATATATATATTTTTTCTTTCTGGTTTTCTGGTAGTTTGTTGGAGATGAAGAGTCTCAGGGACTTTCCTGCTTTCCTTCCCAGGCTGGCCTTGAATCATGATCCTCGGATCTCAGCTTCCTGAGTAGGATGACAGGCGTGAGCCACCGGCGCCCAGCTCCTCCCTGTTACTGAAAATAAACGTCTCAGTTCTTTCCATCTGTTCTGGAAAACTAAAAAGCAAGTTTAAAAACCTTTCTATTGCCTTTTGGGGGGTAATTTTTCCTGGCTTTCCCTGTACCTCGGGTCGGTCAGGCTCTGGAACGGAGGCCGAGCACACGCGGGGCGGCCCTGGAAGCCCCGTGCTTCCCGCGCGGCGTCCACTCCTCAGGCTCCGCAGTCTCCGGCCCGTCGTCTCCCTCCGGGCGCCTTCGCCGGGCTCCCGCGCGGTCAGCTCCCGGCCGGGGCCGCAGGGGTGGCGGGCGGGCGTCGCCGGGCCGGCGGCGGCCGCGGGGTGGAGCGCGGCGCGGCGGGCGCGCGGTCCTACGGACTGCAGGGGGCGCTGTGCGCGCCCCGGGGCGCGGCCGCCCGGCGCAGCTCCTTTTAAAGGGCCAGCGAGGCACGTGGCTCGGGGACTCAGCTCGCGGCCGCCCGGCAGTTGCTCCGAGGCTGAGCTGCTCCCGCCCACAACCGCCACCGCCGCCCGCGTCAGGCCCGACCAGCCGGCCCGGGACCGCAGACCAGCGGGGACGCGGGAAGCCATGGCCGAAGCGGCGTCCGCCCGGGTAAGCGCCCCGGCCCGTGGACGCGGCGCGGACAGGGCCGCCGCAGACGCGTGGGCCCGCGAGGGCGTGGGTCCCCGCCTGGCCGCGGGAGCGCCCGCCGCGGCCTCCCGCCCTCCGCCCGTCCGGCCCGCCGCGGCCTCCCGTCCGGCCCTCCGCTCGCCCGGAACTCCGCGGCCGCCCGCCCGGCCCGCCGCGGCCTTCCGCCCTCCGCCCTCCCGGAACTCGGCGGCCTGGCCCTCCGCCCGCCCGGCCCGCCGCGGCCTCTCGCCCTCCGCCCGCCCGGCCCGCCGCGGCCCTGCCCGAAGCCGCCCAGTGAGCGAGGGCGCGCGCGGCCCAAACACCGGGCGCCCCGACGGCGGGCCCTGCGGTCCACCCCTCCGCGACCCCGGCCGGGGACCGGACGACGTCGCGCTGCAGACCCACACTGCAGCCGCGGCCCCGGCCTTAGGTGCACTGGAAGCCCCGAGGGGCGAGCGGGCTGTGGGCCTGGGGACCCAAGGCCGCTCCCCAAGTGGATGGGGCCCGGGCCGGGCCGGGCTAGGGCTGCAAGGCCGCCACCTTGGAGATTGCCTACGACAGGGCTTCGGGGTTTGGGCTTGGGTTTTGTTTAAATCATTTTTGCAGTTTTATCGTGCTAGGTAGATCAGGTACAGCATGGCTGATCCGGAGAAAGTAGTCCTCGGGTCCTTTGGACACATTAAAAGAACTTGTGAAGAGTTCCTCGATCAGTATCCGCTGTATGTTTCCCGGCAAAGTTTCGGAAAGGTGTTTCCTGGCTGTTTTTTGAGGGGAGCTTCCACTCCTTCCCTCCAGTTAGTGAGTGTGCTGTGCATCTGATGTTGGCTCCCTGAGTGCCAGGGAGAGAAAAAGAGGGGAGAGTCTGCAAGTTCTGACCCTGTTGGGGGTGCGTGGACTGGAAGGCCTTTAGGATCTGTCCAGTTACCTGTCACCCCGACCGGATGAAGCCTGCTTCTTCTCTTGGTTGTGGGATCTTTTGGTCCCCTCACTGGTTATTACACCTCAGTACCTTCCTGAACATTCCTTCCTGCATTTCTGTTCCTTTCCCTCACATACCTTATCCCAAGAAACTCCCAACAGGACTGATTTGCCCTGACTCTTGTTATCCTGATTTGTAGCATTGTTATTATAACTATAGTCATCCCTAGCTTGGGAGGCTGAGGGAGCCCTAGTGTTTACATATAACATCTCCAGAATTTTTTTTTTTTTTTTTGGTTGGTCGTGGTGCTTGAACTCTAGGCCTGGGCGCTGTCCCTCAGCTTTTCAGCTCAAGGCTAGCGCTCTTAACACTTGAACCACAATGCCACATCTGGTTTTCTGGTGGTTAATTGGAGATGAGAGTCTCATGGAGTTTTTTGACTGGCGGGCTTTGAACCGTGATCTTCAGATCTCAGCCTCCTGAGTAGCTAGGATTACTGGCGCAAGCCACCGGCACCTGGCTTCCTCCTGAATTTTTTATTCATTTTTGTACTTGGCTTGAGCGTTGTTTCTGAGCTTTTCCCACTCAAGGCTGGTGCTCAACTACTTGAGCCACAGCTTTTTGCTGGTTAATTGGAGATAAGTCTCATGGACTTCTCTGCCATAGCTGGCTTCAAACTGTGATCTTAAGATCTCAACTTCTTGAATAGCTAGGATTACAGGCATGAACCACTGGTGCCAAGCACAATGTTTGTTTTTTGTTGTTGTTGTTTTAAAAAAAGTTTTTCCCTATGGTCTGTTGAATCTTTGGAGCTAGAACCTTTGGATAGGGAGGGCAAACATTTCTATACAGAATTTTTCTTCTAGAGAAGGATCACATCAGCTTTTAAAAACCATCTCTATTGTCCCTTTACAATGATAGGTGTTCAATAATTTTTGCTGAATGAACACATTCCTTCATTGTTGAATAAGTAGCTACTGCACACCAGCCGTGAGACACTCTTCAAAGCTGGGTTAGCTGGATATAGGGACTCATGGGAGGCCATGCTGGCTAGGGTACAGCAGATAACAGGGCAGATGTGAGGTCAGAGGTTCGCTGTGGCGTGAAGTTTCGATGGTATTCTGGCTACCACTGGGAGCTTTTGAAGCGTTTTTACTTGGCCATGGAAATGGTGTTGGTGTTTGAAAAGAGTACTGACCACTATAGAAAGGGTGCTGGAGCAAAGATGAGAAGAGGAGAAATCAGATGAGTGGAATTGCAGTAGCCGGGACAAGGTAATGGCTGCGGGAAGGGAGAAACAGGGCAGATTTGAGATAATTTCAGAAGTCAGATAGATTCGACTCGATGGTGTGACCTAACTTGTGAAGGATGAGGGCAATAGAGAGATGAGATGTTGTTACTTTGTCTTTCCAACAATGCTCTCAGCAACATGAGCCAGGACTGGGCATTGAACGTGTTCTGGAAGGGTCCCATATCTGACACCCTTCTAATGATGGATGATGGAGAGAGAATGTGCACATGACTAGTTCATAGGGTTCCTACATCATCAGTGTCTTAGCTGGGCTGCTGCAACAAAATGCCATAGTCTGGATGACAGCAGAAATGCAGTTCTGGGGCTGGAAAGTGAAGACGAAAGCTGCTGATGTGGCTCCTGGTGAGGGCTTTCTCCCTGGCTTGTAGGGAGCTGCCTTGTCAAGGTGGAGGGAGCCAGGGTCTCTTTTTAATGCTGCTTCTCCTGTTTTACCCTCTGACCATATTGCCTCTTAAAAACCCTGTCTCTAAGTATTGTCACATTGATGATGCGGATTTGAGGGAGACACAACCTTTCAGCCCATAGCTGTCATCATTATAACCTACGCCCCGTTGCATAGGGTTCACCTTGGCCATTGGCCTGGGCTCCTGACTGGTTGGTGTCGCAGCCTCCCACGCCCTTAGCACACTGCTCTGTGCCCAGGAGGATTTCGCATGGAGCTGCACAGGGGCAGCAGACGTTCTTGTTCGCATTTGCATTATTTTGAGACAAGGTTTCATTATGCAGACCCAGCTGGCCTCCAGCTCCATGTCCTTTGGGTTTGAACTCAGTGATCCTCTTGCCTCATTATGGGTGAACAGCATGGCTGGCCCTGAAGTAGAGTTTGGTAAATTTTTATCCCCTTTAGGAACAGGTTCCCGGGAGGGACAAGCAGATGAGTGAAGAGCAGCCTCCCAGTCCTCCTTCGCCCCAGCCAGCGGCAGAGCAGAGCTCGTACCTCTACTCCACGGAGATCACCCTGTGGACCGTGGTGGCCGCCATTCAGGCCTTGGAGAAGAAGGTGGACTCCTGTCTTGCTCGCTTGCTGACTCTGGAGGGACGCACGGGAACCGCCGAGAAGAAGCTGGCCGACTGCGAGAAGACCGCCATGGAGTTTGGGAACCAGCTGGCAGGCAAGTGGGCCGTGTTGGGGACCCCGCTGCAGGAGTACGGGCTGCTGCAGCGGCGCCTGGAGAACGTGGAGAACCTGCTGCGGAACAGGAACTTCTGGATCCTGCGGCTGCCCCCGGGTGGCAAGGGCGAAGCCCCAAAGGTAGCCTCTGGATGCCCTGGAGTGGGGAGCCCAAGGGCCCGTGCCTGTGAGCGTGTGGGTGAGCGAGGTGACCCTTGTGGTTCCAGGTGCCCCTGACCTTTGATGATGTGGCCGTGTATTTCTCTGAGTGGGAGTGGGGCAAGCTGGAGGACTGGCAGAAGGAGCTCTACAAGCACGTGATGCGGGGCAACTATGAGACGCTGGTGTCCCTGGGTAAGACCGCCTGGGAGTGTCTAGGCCTTCATGCGTCTTTGCAGTCTCTGCTTTGCACAGCACACCTCTTCCCATTTCCCCTCCCTGCTCTGTGTGCAGATTATGCCATCTCCAAACCTGACATCCTCACCAGGATAGAAAGGGGAGAGGAGCCTTGTCCTGAAGACTGGTGGGGCCAGGAAAAGGGGAGTGAGGAGTCTGCATGCTCAAAGAAGTCAGGCACTGGTGAGTGTGGGCACAGGATGGGAGGCGCCTGTCTTTCTGGGTATCCTGAACCATCAAGGAGCTGGGAAGAAAGCTGAGGTCCTTAATCCAGAGTAGTCCACACTGCCGGCCAGGGAGAGGGCTTTCCCTGAGAGCCCCATGGTTCTGCCTCTTCCATGTGGCATGGGTAGGTTGTGAGGGCTCAGGGGCTGACGCAGAGCCTGGAGTCAGTGGGCGCTTCATGACTAGCTGATTGTCAGTAATGGTGTCAGCACAGCAGTACCACTGTCACCACTAGGCACCTTCAGGGGTGTCCATATCTACCTGCCCCCAGCTCAGCCTGCAGCAGGAAGCCACTGCCACACAGGTGAACTTCCAAAGGATGGGTTCTTGGGGCAGGCTAGGCCTGGGGCCTGTTCTTCCCATGGCTCTATGGTATTTCCCGCCAGAATTTAAAGAGAAAAAAAACATTTAATTTAAATAAAAAAAATTTGAGCTGGGCCCTGGTGGCTCACACCTGTAATTCTAGCTACTCAGGAAGCTGAGGATCAAAGTTCAAAGTGAGCCCAGGCAGGAAAGTCCATGAAACTTTTTTTTTCTTTCTTTTTTTTTGTCGGTCATGGGGCCTGAAGTATGGGTCTGGGCGCTGTCCCTCAGCTCTTCAGCTATAGACTAGCGCTCAACCACTTGAGCCTCAGCCCCACTTCTAGCTTTTTCTGCTTATGTGGTGCTGAGGAATCGAACCCAGGACCTCATGCATGCAAGGCAAGCATTCTACCACTGAGCCACCTTCCCAGCCCCCCATGAAACTCTTATGTCCAATAAACCACCAGAAAACTGGAAGTGGTGCTGTGGCTCAAGTGGTAAAGTGCTCGCCTTGAGCTGAAGAGCTGAGGGACAGCACCAAGGCCCATAGTTCAAGCCCCACGACCCACAAGAAAAAATAAATTTGAAAGTAAGTAGAAGCCAGGTGCTGGTGTCACTCCTATAAAACCAGTTACTCAGGAGGTTGAGGTCTGAAGATCACAATTGCAAGCCAGCTGGAGCAGAAAGGGCGTTGAGACTTTTTTTTTTTTTTTTTTTGGGTCTGGTCGTGGAGCCTGAACTCTGGGCCTGGGCGCTGTCCCTCAGCTCTTCAGCTCAAGGCTAGCGCTCTACCACTTGAGCCATAGCACCACTTCTGGCTTTTTCTTTTTTTTTTTTTTTTTTTTGGGTCCGGTTGTGGGGCCTGAACTCTGGGCCTGGGCGCTATCCCTCAGCTCTTCAGCTCAAGGCTAGTTAGTGCTCTACCACTTGAGCCACAGCGCCACTTCCAGCTTTTTTCTTTTTGCTTATGTGGTGCTGAGGAATTGAACCCAGGGCCTCATGCATTGCAAGGCAAGCGCTCTACCACTGAGCCATCTTCCCAGCCCCTCTGGCTTTTTCTACTTATGTGGTGCTAAGGAATCGAACCCAGGGCCTCATGCATGCAAGGCAAGCACTCTACCACTGAGCCACCTTCCTAGCCCCATTGAGACTCTTATTTCCAATGAACCACCAAAATGCCAGAAGTGGAGCTGTGGTTCAAGTGGTAGAGTGCTAACTTTGGGCAAAAACAGACCCCAGGCCCTGAGTTCAAGTCCCAGGACCAATATAAAAAAAAATAAAAACGTGGAAGTAGCAGGACAGTGAACCTCCCAGCGATTATCATCTAGACTTAACAATCATCCAGATTTTTGTGTTTCGTGTCCTTTTCTAAATGTAACTGCACAGCACTGCCATCTCCTGTTCTATACACCCCTCCACCTCCTGCAGATATTTGCTGATTCTAATAGCTCAAAGTCCACATGCTGCATTTGGTTTATATAAATCAAAGTACAAGAAAGTCCTCCCCTCTCCCTGCCCACTAGCATCCAAAGAGTCAGGTGGGTCCTGTGACTGAAGCGTGTCTCGGGAGGATTCCTTCTGCTGGCTCAGACCGGGAATGCCAGGATTTGCAGTGTTACTTTGGCTCTAGGGCATTGCTGCTCTTTCTGTGCTGTCAGTGTCCCCCCATATCCAGCTGTACCAGGCCTCAGTTTTTCCTTCCATGGTTAAAAACTTGTTTTTGAAGCTGGGTACCATTGGCTCATGCCTGTCATCCTAGCTACTCAGGAAGCTGAGATCTTAGGGTCAAGGTTCAAAGTCAGCCCTGGCAGGAAAGTCCGGGAGACTCTTATCTTCACTTAAACATCAGAAAACCAGAAGTGGCGCTGTGGCTCAAGTGGTAGAGCACTCACCTTGAGCTGAAGAGCTCAGGGACAGTGCCCAGGCCCCGAGTTCAGGTCCTATGACCAACAACAACAAAATATTGTTTTTGATCCTTGGCCCTTGAATTGTCAGGGTTTCATATTTTGATGTAGTTTTTCCCCGTCAGTGTTTCGTTGTGCTCAGGGTCAGCATCTTGTGCTTTGGACAGTTTAGTAAGATAAATGCTGTATTTGTTCCATGAAGAATTGAAAGATGAGGCTGTAGAAGATGGTAGGCTAACATTTCTAGGGTCTACTGAGCTTGCAGCTGTCTTTGGGTTTATCCTGGAAGTGCTGTTTTGGAGATCTGGTGTCATTTCTGTAGATAATGCGTGTGGAGCAGCGCTGCCGCTGTCCACTGTTGCTTTCCTGTACATGAAGGGAAGTCAGCAGGGACGCTAGCCAGCGCAGGTCTAGCCTGGACATCATTCTCTCCTCCTCTAACATGCCAGCTTATGTCATCAGTCCCCTGGGAGAGAAATGCCACTGAAGGCAGAGTAGACAGGTGCCACCTGTGTTGAGTATTCTGTGGACCCTGCAGTTCAGGAAAAGCCAGTGTGGACAGTTCCAGCTATGTGTGTCAGCAGGACCACTTTCATCAGTGATTCAGGATTTCCTGTGGGAACATTTCTGCTCATTGATTTCAAACTGTTCTCAGTGCTTGGAGACCAGGACTGTGGACCTTCGGCCCATTTCCTGTCACATGATAGATCCCTTCAGCTCTTTTACCATTAAGCTTTTGCTGATATTCTTTTTTTTTTTTTTGTCAGTCATGGGGCTTGAACTCTGGGCCTGAGCACTGTCCCTGAGCTCTTCAGCTCAAGGTGAGTGCTCTACCACTTGAGCCACAGCGCCACTTCCATTTTCTTGGTGATTAATTGGGAATCTCAGATTTTCCTGCCCCAGCTGGCTTTGAACTGCAATCCTTAGATCTCACCCTCCTGAGTAGCTAAGATTACAGGCGTGAGCCACCAGCACCCAGGTGATATTTCTTTTATCTCTCTTCTCAAGTTGCTTCCTTAATCAAATGAGTTCCTTTGCTTGTGGAGGGAGGGCACTGTGATCATTTGGGGGCTGTATCACTTAAAGTTTGTAAATGATGACAACTGGGTGGTTGCCCAGTGCAGCCGGCACCCGAACAGCTGGTGGCATATGCATAGCTGTTTCTCCTCTCTGCCTTAAATAACCAGATTCTAGACTCTGCTGCCCTGCCCTGCTCTGCCCTGCAGGGTCCTCTCAAAGACCTGCCGGGCTGTGCACAGCGCTGTTCCCTGACCTGGAGGCTTTGGTGGGGATCCTGGCTGCTGCTCCTCATCACACCCTGTCCTGATATCGCAGGACCCCGGGGACTCTGCAAGTAGTCACTCCTCACGGTCCAGCCACGAGGTAGGGCAGCCTCGGTGTGGAGCTCAGTGTCATCGATTTGCCTTCCCCAGGCCTCCCTCCACAGCCACAGTGGGTCCCTTGCTCTGACAACCCCACCCAAGAGGAGCCAAAAGATCAGACCCCTGCGCAGCAGCGAGATGAAGTAAGAAGACCCTCTCCTGGGCCAGGCACTGGTGAGTGAGGAGAGCTGGGGCAGTAGCACGCATGGCACCAAACCATGGCACCAAGAAGCACGCTTCTCCCCTAGTCAGAGGAGAGCAGGGGCTGGGGGTGCAGTTGGGCTGAGCTTGACAGGGTCCTAGGCTCCTGGGAAAGGTACTTCTGACATGGGCCTCAAGGAAGGTTCAGGAAGAGGTCTAGTAGAGCTTTGGGGGATCTGGGCATACCTGTCTGGCTGGAGCAAGAGTTGGGCCCAGGTTGGGCCTCCTGGGATCTTTTTTTTTTTTTTGGGTCCGGTCATGGGGCCTAAACTCGGCCTGGGCGCTGTCCCTCATCTCTTCAGCTCAAGGCTAGTGCTCTACCACTTGAGCCGCAGTGCCACTTCCGGCTTTTTTCTTTTTGCTTATGTGGTGCTGAGGAATTGAACCCAGGGCCTCAGGCATGCAAGGCAAGCACTCAACCACTAAGCCACCTTCCCAGCCCCTCCTGGGATTTCTTACGGTGGTCACATCCACATGCACGGTGCTGGGGCTGCTGGTGGGGTTCTTTTGAGAGTCCTGCTGGGAACCCTAGCTTTAGTCACCTCTCTAGCATTCCCTCTCCCTGTCCTGCTACTGTTCTCAGGCTGTTGCTGTCTTTCTTCCTCTGAAACAGACACAGAGGGCACTGGACATGAAATGTGGCAGGGGACTGACCCCCAAGGCCTAGTTTCCTTCTGTCTCAGTGTTCACTGGGCTAGTCTGACTTCTGCCCCTTTCCTTCCTTCTTGCTGTTGGCCTGACTTCCAGTTCCTGTTGCCTTCTTCCCAGTGGTTTTACCTTGTTCCCTTGGAGCGTGACTCCCACTGTTGTGCGGGGCAGCCCCTCCCTTCTCTGCGCTCCTCTTCCCTGGCCCGTGGGTAGGTGTGGGCTCTGCTCAGGACTTGGAGGGGGGGGACCTTCTCAAGGCCATGTCCGTCCCAGCCCATGGCAGTCCTAGGTTACCCTGGGGCCTCCACAAGCCCTCTGTCCGGCCGCCCTCAGAAGCAAAGGCACAGATGGAAGTCTAGGCCTGCAGGGAGCTTGGTGATGTGACCTGGCCAGCGCTTGTTACCTCGGAAGCCCTCTACATGGACGCATAGCCTCCTTGTCCAGGCAGGCCCTTGTGCACATCCAGGGCCTGTAGGAACCGCTGTGGGGAAGACCCTCATGGGTGCTCTCTCCAGCAGATTTCTCAACAAGCTCCAGCATTCTGTGTTCAGTTAAACAAGAGGCAGAATCTTCCGAGGAGGAGTCACCCACCTCCCCTCCCAGGGGTGTCCTGCCTGGTGTGGGGCCAGGTGAGTGAAGCCGGTGAGAGTGGAGGAGGTCTGCCATGGGTCCTGATTTTCTCCGTAGTGCTCTGGCCTGGCTGGAAAGGTGCTGTGGCTCACTGCCTCTGTCTTGCACTTCGCTGGTGTTCAAGTGTACAGTGCGCCTTCAGGCGTTTGGGATGTGGACGGGCCCCTCCCCATCGGGGTGCTGCTCATACTCAGCTGTAACTCTTGGCACTGTGCTTGCACCGCTGCCACGGCTGGACTCTTTCAGAGCTCTGCTTCCCATGTCTCCCCTCCACCTCTCCATCCAGCTGTCTCCCTAGACTGACCCCTGACCCTGCAGGCCTCTGGCTCTGCAGCTTTCTTTCCCCTCCCATGGAGTTCTTGGCTCACCCTCTAGGAATGAAGCTAAGGTGGCAAACAAGGCTGGGTGGCAGGAGGTGGGGGAGGGTCTTTCTGGTGTTGTGCATGTGTGGACCTGTGCCCTGCTCTGTGGGTGCCCAGAGGTGGTGGGAGCAGGCTGGGCCTGGTGGGAGCCCGAGGAGCCCGTGGTCCATGTGGAGCCGACATGGATTCCTCTGCCAGGTGGTGCGGTGACCGTCAAGACAGAAGCCCAGTCTGAAGATGAGACGGAGCCCGAGCAGCTCTTCCTGGAGGCCGCTAGCCGGCCTACCTGTAGAATCCCCAAAGGGCCCAGAAACAGGACTCGAGGCTCCCGGCGGCGGCACCATGGCCAGGGCATGTCCAGGGTGTCGGTAGGGGAGCCCCAGGCGGCGGGAGCTGCGGGGGAGTCGCCCCGGGTCCTCCCCCGACGGCGGGAGCGGACTTTCCCCTGCCCCGACTGCGGGCAAAGCTTCCGCCTGAAGATCAACCTGACCATCCACCAGCGGACCCACGTGGAGGAGGCCAGGGAGGCATGGGACGGCGCCTCCTCCAGCTGGGGGCAGGACTCCTCCACCCTGGAGCCCGGGGAGGTGGTGGTGCCCGGGCCTGTCATTGGCTGGCTGCCCGAGGAGCCCACTAGCCGCCGTTCCCTGGCTGGCCGGGCCTTCCTGGGGCGCAGGCCCGCGGCCACCAAGGTATACCACTGCAGCGAGTGCCTGCGCTTCTTCCAGCAGCGCAAGAGCCTCCTGCTGCACCAGCGCCTGCACACCGGCAACAGCCAGGGCTGTCCCGCCTGCCCCTACTGCGGCAAGGCCTTCCGCCGGCCCTCGGACCTCTTCCGCCACCAGCGCATCCACACAGGCGAGCGGCCCTACGGGTGCCCCCAGTGTGGCCGGGCCTTCAACCGCAACCACCACCTGATTGTCCACATGCAGACCCACTCGAGAGGCCAGGCAGGCCTGCACTTTCCCATGTCCTCTGGCCAAGGGAGCCCGCCCTATGGGGAGGAGGGCTGACCAGGCAGGAGCCCTACCTCCCGCCCCCCAGCTACCCTGGCAGGACCTGTGCTGTGTATCGGGCCTTTCCTTGTGCCTGATGCTGGTTCCAGGACTGTTCCAGAGAATCTTTTTTCTTCATTGAAATGGGAAGCAGCAACTCATGGTGACCATGTGTGTATGACAAGGTGCCCCCTTTTCTAGTTCCTGTTTGTCACTCTTTGCCTCCTTTCCTACATTCCTGGCTTGTAAAGATTCTTTAAGGCTTTAGGGGACACCAGTTCTCAGTGGAGTCTTTGGACAGCACCATGGTTGGGGGACCAGATTGAGGCCCTTCCAGGATGGGGTGAGTCGGACCTAGGGCACTGGTATGGCTCTGGCTCCTTGGAGGTCTGCCTGTAGTCCATGTGAAACCACAGCCAGGACAGACCCCTGAGGAAAGGCACTGGAAATCTTTTCTTCTCACTTTGAGACTTCTCTGTATGAAGCATTCCTCAGACTTTTATTGTTTGTATTTGCATTGGGGACCAGGATCTCCATGTGGGGCAGATGGGATCAGAGAGGAGCTCAGACCAGACCTGCTCTGGGCTTTACGTGGCTTTGGCTGCTGTACTGGCGCCTGTGTCTCCCGCTGTTTCCCAGCCGTGGGTGCCCCCCCCCCCTTCTTAGTTCCTCTGCTGCTGGGCTGTCTTCCATTCTATACCTCAGCTGTCTTCCGTTCTCAGGCTCCTTGGGATTGTGTGACTCATTGAAGGGACTCCCAAAGATGCCTTGAGGAGGCAGAGAAAGCCTAGGTAGACCCTGAGATTAAACTTGGTCTGGGAGGGGCTGTTAGCTTACCTGGACGCGGGCCTCCAGGCCTGTTTAGTCATGGTAATCAGTTCAAGCTGTGGGTTAAGTTGGGCTGGGAGTTCTGGAGCAAACCTTCAGCCACATCTTATTAGGTGCATCGCACCTCAGAGTTGCCCATGTCAAATTAAGAGGCACTGGCAGAGAAGAAGCTTTTTTTTTGGGGGGGGGAGGGGCGTCGGTTGTGGGGCTTGAACTCTGGGCCTGGGACCCATCCCTGAGCTCTTCAGCTGAGCCACAGTGGCACTTCCAGTTTCCTTGTGGTTAATTGGAGATGAGAGTCTCAGATTTTCCTGCCCCAGCTGGCTTTGAACCGCAATCCTTGGATCTCAGCCTCCTGAGTAGCTAGGATTATAGGCATGAGCCACTGGTGCCCAGCAAGAAGCTTGCTTTTTGTTCTTCTGTTCTGCCTGAAGGCCTCCTTTTTGTTTCACATTGAAGTTTATCGCTTTTAACCCCAGACAGAATTCCTCAGGAAGGACTTTTCTCTTCCTGGTTCAGTGAAGTAAGACTTTCTCCCTGGGCTGGTGCCCCAGGGGCTCTTTCACCAAAGAACAGGTTCAAATTGAGTAAAGTCAGGCTAGTGCCCACCTCATGAAGAATTCTTGAGGATGGCTGATTTCTTGTGCCTCATAGTCATAGTACCTTGTTTGCTGCCTGTAGGCTAGCCTGGTATGTATGGGTGCTTCTGAAACTGGGGTAATGGGTCCCCAGCTTTCCTGATAGTTTGCTGATCTATTTGGCACAGCATTTTCAGGCTTGCTTCAGGTAGTTTGGGTGCCTAGGGCTGTGTCACTTCCTGTTGCCCTTTCGGCACTGGCCAGTCTCCCAAAACCCTGAGTAGACTTGAGGTCTAATGGCAACGTTGTCATCTCTTGGATGCATGTTATGTGCAGGTCCAAGACTGGTCACCCATGATCATCTGTGTTGGGGGTCTTGCTCATCTGCTCTCCCAAATCTTGCCTGGGTCCCCACAAGTTTGAGCTGTCAGCAAGTGCCAGTGGGAGGAGGCACAAAAGGAACCTCTTGCCGCTTAACCCTCAGCTTAAAAGCCAGTCTCAGGGGTTGTTTTGGGAGTGCTTCCAGGCTATGAGTTCTGCCCATTTCCTAGGCCTGCTTCTCTAACGGTAAGGCCCTCTGTAAATACGAGTACTCAAAGCACAAGGCTTTTCCTGCTTTTGTTTTTCAGGGCATGCAATGTGCTCAGCTCCGGGCTCGGCCTATTGATTAGGACGCACTCTGCTGGCTGGGGGGGTCGGGACCCAGGTTAGGTCCCAGGCTCTCCTGGCGCTGTAAAACAAAAATGACTGGGTCATTAAGGACTGAAGTTGGCCGTCTCTGGCCCCAACTGGTGCTCAATAAACGTGTTGGCAGAAATGCATGCAAATGGCCTGGTTGCTAAGTGGGAGTGGCTGGAACCCGCGCTCGCCGGCTAGGAAGAGGAGTTGCTAGGCAAGAGTCAGCTGTGGTCCCCCCACCCCTCCGGCGTTAAAGCGCCTGAAATCTTAGGTGTTCACCTGCTGGACGCGCAGCAGCCTCGGCTCACGCCTTGGGGGCGGGATTTCCAGGAGTAGCCAATAGGGAGCTGGTTCTGGGCCGCAGGGTCCTGTCGTGCACAGGGTGCGGGCGGGGCTTCTGGGCCGGCCAATGGGAGCCGGCTCCGGGAGGGGGGCCGAGGAGCAGGGCCGTCAGCCTCCGGGCTCTGCGGCGCCTTCGTGCTCGGTGCGGCGGCTCAGCGCGCGCTGCGCGTTGGTGCCGTGTGTGGCGGCCGCGCGAGCCCCGCGAGGAGAGGCCGCCTGCGGAGAGGGCCGGGCCGCGGGGGACCGGGCCGGACAGCGCAGAGCCATGGCCGAGGCGGCTGCGGTTCCGGTAAGCGCGGCCCTCCGCGGGGACGCGGGGCCGAGTCCCGAAGCCCGGGAGGGCGTCCTGCGGCGGCACGGGAGGGAGGCGGACGAGCGCGCCCTCGGCCCCCGGGGGTCTGGGGGTCCCCTCCGCGCCGTGGGCCGTGTCAGACGAGAGCCACGGCATTTTGGTCCTCTTCCGAGCTGAGGCGGGAGCCCGGTCCGGGGCAGAGTCCCGCGTTCCCTCCCTCGTTCCCCGCCTCAGGGTGAGGGTTTGCAGACCTGAGCCCTGGTGCAGTCGGGATGGACCCCCCCCCCACACACACACACACAGTGCTCCCGAGCAACCCCTCCTGCCGCGAGAGGATCTGCACTCCAGGGGACTTTTGGTTAAGGGTACTTTAGGTGTGACCTAGACAGCCCCTGGCCGGTGTGGCTGAGCCCAGTGTGGAGGCTTTCTGTGTCTGCTTGCAATAGCTTTGCCATGGTTTTATTAGTTTCAGTTTTTGTGCTGGTACTGAGACTTGAACTCGGGGCCTGGACACGGTCCCTTTGCTTTTTTTGTGCAAGACTAGCACTCTGCCATTCGACCCACAGCTCCACTTTCAGCTTTTTGGTGGTTAATTGGAGGTAAGAGTCTTACAGACCTAGGCTGGCCTTGAATCCCCATCCTCAGATCTGAGCCTCCTGAGTAGTACTATAAGCAAGATCCACCAGTGCTCAGCTTTTGCAGTGGTTTTGGAGACATTTCTGAGTGCCAGTTTATGGCAAGGACATGAAGATGTCTGCCTCTAATCTGTGAAGACTGAATTTGTCTCCTTTCAGCAGCCCTTTGTTGTGTGTGTCAGAGGCCAGACTCCTGAATGGAGCTATTGAACTCCAATGGAAGAAAGGACAGGTGTCAGCTGACTAGTACATAATAGATGGTGGGAACTTTGCTGAGTCCTTTTTTTGGGGGTGGGGGAGGTCCTGGGGCTTGAACTCAGTGCCTGGGTGTTAACACTGAGCCTCTTTGTGCTCAAGGCTAGCACTCTATCACCTGAGCCACAGTGCCATTTCCAACTTTTTGAGTAGTTTATTGAAGAGTCACAGCTGGGCGCTGGTGGCTCACACCTCTAATCCTAGCTACTCTGGAGGCTGAGAATCTGAGAATCATAGTTCAAAGCCAGCCTGGGCAGGAAAGTCCATGAGACTCTTATCTCCAGTTCACCACCAGAAAGCTGGTAGTGGCGCAGTGGCTCAACTGGTAGAGTGCTTGCCTTGAGCTGTAAGAGCTCAGGGACAGCCCCAGGCCCAGAGTTCAAGCCCCACAACCAACCTAAATAAATAAATACATACATACATAAATAATGTCTCATGGACTTTCCTTCCAGGGCTGGCTTTGAACTGCGATTCTCAGATCTCAGCTTCCTTAGTAGCTAGGATTACAGGAGTGAGCCACCAGCGCCTGGCTTGGGAGGAGTCTTTGGAGAAACTTAATTGCATTAAATTAATCACAATCTTTGGCCAGACATTCTGGCCATTGGTGGGCCTTATCTTCCCCAGTCCTCCTTGATTGTTGTACTGTATGCTTTTTTGTGCGGTTAGGGAATTTTGTTCATACCATCACCTTAGGAAGTAGGAAAGCCATGATGTATAGAAGTGTGGATTAATGTCACATCGCACAGGATTCAGTGATAAGAAAGGCATTGAGTCACTGTCTGGTAAAAACTGAAATGGGAGTACTTCCATTCTATCTCAGTACTTTCATTATATCTCTGAGGCTTCCTAGACACTTTTTCTTTTCTTTTTTTTTGCTGGTCTTGGGGCTTGAACTCAGGACACCTGGGTGCTGTCTGTGAGCTTCTTTTGCTCAAAGCTAGCACTCTGCCACTTGAGCCACAGCTCCACTTCCTTGTTTGTTTGTTTGGTAGTTTATTGGAGATAAACTCATGGGCTTTTCTGCACAGGCAGGAAAGAAATCCTCATATCTCAGCTTCCTGAGTAGCTAGGATTACAGGTGTGAGCCACTGGCGCCTTGCTGGACTTTCTAATTTTATCATTTCTACTAGTATGCCAGTATACCATATATACACTGTCCACCTCCTGTTGGCAAGGTCTTCTTTGGAGTATTTCCTAGTTCTGCCTACTCTAGGGTGTTGGTTATCTATCTCTAGCCTCTGCTTCTTGGCTGCTAGGGCCTGACTTTCCAGTGTGGTGACTTCTCTGTGGGCTGTTTGATGTGGCCCCTGGGTAACAGGTAGGTGAGGAATTCACACACCAGGAGGTGACAAAGTGGAAAAACCTTAGAGATCAACCAAAACCAGAACCATAGGGCTTCACTCACCCATCTCAGCCTTGTACTGTAGGGGAGGTTATACTCTCAGGAAGCCCAAGTATGGACTGGATCCCTGGCAGACTTTCTGGACTCAGGTTTCTCACTTCCTGGTGGCGGCGGCGGCTGCTGCCAGGCTGTGTTCCCAGAGGAAGAAAAGTCAAATATCCGACTAACCTAATACAAGCAGGAGAGCTGGTATTCAAGTCCATTACATTCTACCTGCTTATGACGGAAGTGATTGCTTTTTCATTTTCTGTTACCTGGATCAGGGTTACAGGATTTAAAAAAAAAAATTATTTAGTTTTTGTCATGGGGCTTGAACTCTAGGCCTGGGTGTTGTCCCTCAGCTTGTCAGCTCGTCAGCTCAAGGTGAGTACTCTACACTTGAGCTACAGTGCCAGTTCTGGTTTTCTGGTAGTTTATTGGAGATAAGAGTCTCATAGACTTTCCTGTCCAGGCTTGCTTTGAACTGGGATCCCCAGATCTCAGCCTCCTGAGTAGTTAGGATTATAGGTATGAGCCACCAGCGCCTGGCTAAGGTTACAGATTTTCTTTACCTGAAGGATCCATGGAGACTAGAGTTTGATGTCTTTGTCCATCAGGACATTTGGAGCCTGATCAGTGAAGGATTTGGCATCTGAAAGAAGTCTCCCCCATTCCAGGGGAACCCTGATTTCCTGTGTCTGGGAATGGCTCTGGGCCCTCTCCTGGGATGACTTGTATCATGTCTGATTGCAGGAATGGCACGTGGGGACTGACCTCCACCGGGAGGCCCAAATCCAGTCTGCAGAGATCTCCCTTTTGGCCATCTTGGCTACTGTTCAGGCAGTGGAGAAGAAGATGGAGTCTCAGGCTGTCCACCTTCAAAGCCTGGAAGTACGAACAGGGGCAGCTGAGAAGAAGCTGGCCGACTGCGAGAAGACCGCCATGGAATTTGGGAACCAGCTGGAGGGCAAGTGGGCCGTGCTGGGGACCCTGCTGCAGGAGTACGGGCTGCTGCAGCGGCGCCTGGAAAACGTGGAGAACCTGCTGCGGAACAGGAACTTCTGGGTCCTGCGGCTGCCCCCGGGCAGCAAGGGCGAAGCCCCCAGGGTATTGAACTGACTCTAAGACCCTCTCAGGAAGAACGTGGGAGGCCCTTTGGCTGTTGAAGCCTGACCTTGGTCCCTAATACTAGTCATCAGTGGCCTTGAAGGGGCTTTAGAAATGTCAGGAGGATGCTGTGTCTGGCAAAGTATCTGCTTTGGCAAGTGGAGTGGGGTTGTTGGGAGGGAAACGGTTGTATGGCATATCTTGTTCTAGAATGATCTCTGAGAGTGAGGACTAGTACAAATATAGCTCACATGTAGAACAGAAGGTATGCGTGTACCTAGGAGAGTGGTGGGAACTCCAAGAGCTGTGGTCCTGTGTCCCCAGCCACTGGCTCTTGCTTGGCATTTGAAGCACATGTGGTAGACGGGAGCTGTCATATGCCCAGAGGTTGGGCCAGAGGTGTCCTCTGGTTTGGGAGAGGGGAGAGGAGACTGAGTTGATTCTGGCTTGTTCGCTGAAGTTGTAGTGACTTACTGAGGGTGCTGGGGACCTGTACTTCCAGGTTCCCGTGAATACTGAAGACATGGCTGGGTGCTTCTCCGAGCAGGAAGGCTGTCCAGAAGACTGGCAGAAGGAACTCTGCAAGCACGCGAAGGGGTGCCAGGATACGCTGGGATCCCTGGGTAAGAGGCCACCCCCCGGGACTTCTGGGCCTGATTTTATCCTTTTATCCACTTTGTTGGGATTTGGATCAGAAAGTACAACCACATTGAGATCGGTCCCCTGCCTTTGGACAGAGTGTCTGATAACCATTTTCAGGTCTTCCATAGTGAATGCAAAAAGGTTAAATGGCCCCTGCAGAATGAACACAGACTAGGATCTGCTCCTCACGCCTAGTCCTTTGTGTTTACTTCTCAGGCACAGGGCTCCCCAGTTTTATATTTTCACCCCAGGACTCTCAATCTCTTTTTTTTTTTTGTCGGCCGTGGGGCTTGAACTCTGGGCCTGGGCACTGTCCCTCAGCTCTTCAGCTCAAGGCGAGCGCTCTACCACTTGAGCTACAGCGCCACTTCCGGTTTTCTGGTGGTTTATTGGAGATAGGAGTCTCACAGTCTCTCCTGCCCGGGCTGGCTTTGAACCGCGATCCTCAGATCTCAGCCTTCTGAGTAGCTAGGATTACAGGCGTGAGCCACCAGCGCCCGGCTCTCAATCTCTTTACTGTGCACCCTGGAGATTCTCAACTCCTGCTGAATGTGAGCATGCATTTAATGTTTAGGACCAAGCGTAGACATTAGATTTCTCAGGCAGGTGAGTGCAGGCATGTGTGAGACTTGATGAGAGCTAGGGACTTGTAGCTGCACCCACACTCTGCTAACCTGTGTGTATACCTGAAGTCCCTCGCTGCTCTGGGCAGTTAGCTGTTTGCCTGTTCTTTCGTCTTATTGGGGGAAGAGAGGACCTCCAGTGAGGCTTGGGTGTCTCACTTTTCCTCCAGGAGAATTCTTTTTTGAAGAAGAGAGTGCGGACATGCTACAGGGATGCCGGGTGAGGGAGGCTGTCCAGCTTGGGGGCAGGAGTGAGCATGAGGAGGGAAGGCAGCAAGAGGTCCAAGAGCTGAGTGCCATGTATAACTGAGTCCTCTTCCTCAGGGTCACACGAGGTAGCTAGGCTAGGTGAGTTTGGACTTCTGTTTATGTGGGTGGCAGGACGGATGCCCTTCTTCCTATCCTTGTCTCTTGCTGTATTGGCTTGGCTAGGGAGAGGTTTCACTTCACTCCACTAGGTGTCCTCTACCGTTTGCCACACACTGCTGGAATGGCAGTGAGGGGTGGGTGGGTCCTGTGCTAGGCCTGCAGAGGAGAGCCCTGTCACCGTTCCCTTCCTCCCCACAGACCACGCCACTGCCAAGCTGGAGTGTCCAAGTGCACTGGACGGGGGAGATGAGGTGGGCAGCCTTGGCCTGCCTGGGGCAAAAGGGGTGAAAGCGTGGGCATGCAGAGTCCCCCGTGCCTGTGGCCCTGGGCCTCTCAGCTTCACCTGATAGGTCACCTGGTGTCAGGAATCCTGCCTGGAGACACGGGCAGAGGTAGGGGATGTACACTGCTGGACGTTACGGCCAGCTGACCACCTGGACAGACCAGGTGCTGTGCTGCTGTCCCGTGTGTCTCCCGCCTGGGATGCGGAACATCCAGCCCACATGCTCTACAAGGCCCTGAAAGTCATTTGACATGACAGGGTAGACTTCAGTGCTTCTCATCAGCTGCCTCAGCCTATCTGCTTGTATCAGCAATTTCATATAACTGGTAATGATGTGAAACATACCAGATGGAGCTGGGTGCAGTAGCTTACCCCTGTAATCCTAGTTATTCAGGGGACCGAGATCTGAGGATTGCAGTTCAGAGCTAGCCTGGGAAAGAAAATCTGTGAGAGTCTTTATATCCAGTTAACTATCAAAGAACTGGAAGTGGAGCTGTGGCTCAATTGCTAGAGCATTCTCTTTGAGCCAAAAATCTCAGGGAGGGGGGCAGGGGAGGAATGGGAAGGGATGGGAAGGGGAAACAAAGGAGGAGGCAACAATGCTTGATAAGAAATGTACTCATTATCTTTCCCATGTAATTGTAACCCCTCTGTACAGTATTTTCACACAAAAAAAAAAAAAAAAAAAAAAAGCTCAGGGACAGCACCCAGGCTCTGAGTTACGGCCTGAGACCAGCACCAAACATAAGAAAAGCTGGAAGTGGAGGAGGGGCTCAAGTGATAGAGCGCTTGTTTGGAGGCCGCACCGCTCCCAGGCAGATGCAGAATGGGCTGAGCCAGTGTACCCCTTAGGTTCCACAGCTCCCCTTGGGGCTGGGGCATGCCTGGGGGTGGGTCCTCAGAGGATTTGAGGCTGCCTGCACCCCCGGTTGTCCCCCGGTTGTCCCTTCTGCCCTGGCCCTCACTGTCTGTGTCCTGCCCTCCTGGGTTTTCTACCTTCATCCACAGGGCTTCCCCCTGCCTCTCTCCCTCCCCCCCCTCATCCCAGGCCTAGTCCTTGCTCCAAGGAGCTGCCTCCATACTCTGCCACAAACCAGCAGACTAGATTGTGTGTGCAAGCCTGCTTTATTTACTAGAAGTTTCCCCAATGGAGCACCAACTGCCAAAAGTCTGGGAAAGGCATGAGCGGGTCCTCATTCAGTCTGAGCATTGCAGTCCACAGGTTCAGAAGTTTTGCATGCCATCACACTGACCAGCGGCTAACCTTTGAGAGCATTTGTCACTGTAGGAATGTGTGTGTGTGTGTGTATATCTATCTATCTATCTATCTATCTATCTATCTATCTATCTATCTATCTATCTATCTATGTTGTATGGTGCTGAGGACTATACTCAGGGCCTTATATTTGCTAAGTAAGGCAAGCATTCTTCCATTGAGCAAAATCCCCAACCCCTAGAAGTATATTTTTTAATGAATTATACAAATGCATTCATACATAAATACTTTCTCACTAAGCAGTGCAGAGGTTGTATGAAGTGAAAGAGTTTCAACTGACCTCCTGCCCAGGCCAAACTTCCCCTCCCCCTCCTACCCCCCTCACAGTTTAGCTGCTATGATCATTCTGGCAGTAACCTATTAGATTTCCCCCCCCCCCATGCATTTACATAAATATGCACTGTAGAAAAATACAAAGTTTTGGGCTGGGAAGGTGGCTCAGTGGTAGAGCGCTTGCCTTGCATGCATGAGGCCCTGGGTTCGATTCCTCAGCACCACATAAGCAAAAAGAAAAAAGCCGGAAGTGGCGTTGTGGCTCAAGTGGTAGAGTGCTAGCCTTGAGCTGAAGAGCTGAGGGATAGCGCCCAAGCCCAGAGTTCAGGCCCCATGAATGGACCCAAAAAAAACAAAACAAAACAAACGAAAAATACAAGGTTTTAAAATACTATGCTGGGCACTGCTGGCTCATGCCTGTAATCCTAGCTACTTAGGAGGCTGAATTTTTTTTGGTCAGCTGTGGAACTTGGTGCTGAGTGCTGTCCCCCAGCTCTTCAGCTCAAGGCAAGCGCTCTACCACTTGAGCCACAGCGCCACTTCTAGTTTTCTGGTGGTAATTGGAGATAAGAGTCTCACAGACTTTCTTGCCCCTGTTGGCTTTGAACCATGATTCTCAGATCTCAGCCTCCTGAGTAGCTAGGATTCCAGCACCTGGTATATCTCCAATTTACCACCAAGAAAGCCAGAGGTGGACCTGTGGTTCAAGTAGTAGAGTAGTAGGTTATAGTAGTAGAGTAGTAGGTTAGTAGTAGTAAGTAGCCTTGAGCAAAAAGCTAAGAGACAGTGTCTAGTCTCTGAGTTTAAGCCTCAGTACTGAAATACACTCACACACACACATACACAAGATGAGAAAATAATATAAAAACCCAGTCCTGTACTATGTACTGTCTGTAGCTTGTTTTCTCTCAACAGTGTGTCTTAAAGATCTTTTACTTTAGTAAATTTCTGTTGACATCTTTGTCTGAAACTTGAACTGTCAAAACCTAAGAGCTTGACTTTCAGGACTCTGGTTAATAGTGGAGCCAGCCAGCCTAGTGTGTGGCAGGCAGTCCAGTGTGTTCTCCACGTGACTGGATCAGTACCTTGGGAAGTTCTCCATTCTTTCACTCACCTATTCATTCAACAAAAAGTGTGCCTATCCTGTGTCAAGTCAGGTCGGGAAGGTGGAGCAATTGTAATAATAATATCAATTACTAATAATAATTGTTATTATTATTTTGGTTGTAGTGGGAATTGAACTGAGAGTGTAACCCAACCCCTTTTGCCTTCCTTTATTTGTTTATTTATGCATACCTATTTAAACTGAAGACCTCACACTTATTCTGTCAGTTTACTTGCTTAGCTTGTATACTTCACCATTTGAGCCTGGTTTTTTGCTAGTTACTTTGGAGATGAGGTCTAATGGACTGTTCTGCCCAGAGTGAGCTTTGTACTGAGATCCTGAGTAGGATTACAAGTGTGAGCCACCATATCTGGCAGCCACTCCTTTTGTAATAGGGGCCTTAGAGACTGGCACAGATTGGTGAGGTAACTTGGCTCTTGGAAAACCACTACCTCAGGGTCCTGTGTTACACAGGCTGCTGAATGAGATCAAACAGTAGAGCAGTAGCTTAATGGAGCGTCTCAGTTTCTCTAACAGGGCTTGTTGGGCAGGGTGCTCCGGACCTGGTCCTTCTGACTTGTTGCTCTGCTTTTGTAGGCTATGGCATTGCTGCCACAGTTCAAGGTGACTCACTCCCATGTCAGAACCATGAAGGAAGAAGCAGGAGGGGAGAGAAGGAATACTCTTCTCTAAGGACAAAACATTTTGTTCTAGTTAGTAAACACATGTTTAGTATCTAGGTGCTTTGTAAATACTGATCGGTCCGACTTTATCATAGCCTTTTTGTCTCCTCACGTTATAGATGAAGAAACTCAGGTGCAGAGAGACTAGGTAAATTTTCAGCCATGCAGCCAGCATTCTTCATGTGCCATTGGTCATCTGCTGGCCAGGAGGTCCGGAAACCTGCTTTTTTATTTTGTTTTGTTTTTGTTGGTCGTGGGGGCTGAACTCGGCCTGAATGCCGTTCCTCAGCTCTTCAGCTCAAAGCTAGCATTCTACCATTTTAGCCAGTCCCACTTCTGGATGTTTCTGCTTAGGTGGTACTGAGGAATCGAACCCAGGCCCTCGTGCATGCCAGGCAAGCACTCTACCACTGAGCCACCTTCCTAGCCCCGAAACCTGGTTTTTGTTTTGGGGCTAGGGGTTCCACAGACTGTCAAACACTAGGTGCTCTAGTACTGCAAAAGGGAGGGGGGGGAAAGGCTCTTGGTGCCTGGTCACCGCCCCCTACCATGCTACAGGGTCTGCTCTGCCTTTGCTGGGACACGGTTCTGCTGGGAGTGCTTTGTGATTGATGCCCTGAGGGCTTCCTTGTCTCCCCCTTAGAAACTGGTCAGCTGGGGCCCCCTGCAGCAGTGTTACCCTGGATCAAGCAAGAGCAAGAGGCATGTGGGAGGGACTTGCAGGCGAAGGCTACTACACCCTTGAGCTCAGGTAAGCCTCTGTGGGCAGGGCTGCAGTCCTGTGTCTTGGAAACATAAAACACCCCCCTCCCCCAGGGGTCTCTGAGACCCTTAGCAGGGCTTTCTCCTGTATGCGTTTCCCAGAGGGAGCAGCAACAAGGAGGTGACCTGTTAACTTTGTTCTCTGTGGCCTCGTGGGTTTGCTGGGGGGGAGGATGGGCGCTTCCCATACAGTTGCATGAAACTATTGTCTTATTCTTGATATGGTTTGCTGGCTTTATTTTATGAACGTTAGCCAGCATGGTGCTAGGCACTACAGGCCTCATATAGGGTATGGGGTCTCCTACCCTCCTAAGGAGTTTACAGTTAGGCGGGAACACAGGCAGACAGTGTCACATTAGAAGAGGAAAGATCTAAGTCTATGGCCAGAGAAGCTGATGGAAGTTTTGACAGGGCCCTAGGAAAAAGCGTGTGTACTTTCAGTGTAGATAAGGGGAAGGCCTGTAGGTAAGCTATGTGTGCCACAGACAGTTGGGGGGAAGGGAGGATTGGAAAAGCACTGTCTTGCTGGTCTTGGGCAGGCCCCAGGGGGGCTTTGGAGCAGGGGCAGAGAGGAGGTCAGGGGACGCTTGCAGGGAGGCTCATCGCAGGGGTGTCAGGGTGTTTGGATGGCATTACATAGACAGGACAAGACCTTGGCAGGGGAAACCAAGTAGGCCGGGTCAGAGCAGGTTGGCCCTTGGTGACGAGCTCCCCCAGGCCCATACTGCAGATACCAGGAGAGCAAAGGGCCTGGTAGCCTGGCCCGGAGGCCTGGGACACGGGACTCACTGGATGTGTCCCCTCCAAGCAGAGACCTGGCTGGCCAGCAAAGAGAAGAGGAGCCTGGAGGGAGAGTCTGAGGGCCTGGAGTCTGCCTGGGCAGCGGAAGGGGGGCTGGACCAGGAGGACTTGGAAGGCAGCGCCTTTAGAGATCCATTTCCCATCCCCGGGGAGAAGGAGACGGCCTCCCTCCCTCCAGGCAGCCAGATGCAGGCCTTGCCGGTGGCCCAGGGCCTGGAGCGGCGTCCGTCCTGCACCGAGAGCAGTGCGAACTCGAGGGGCTGGGAGCTCAGTGGGCCGCACGATGGGGCGCACGGTGGGGTGCACGGGCGCGCGGCCTGCGCCCAGCCTCCCGAGGGCGTGGCCGGCGAGCTGCGCACGCGCCAGGCGCCGCGGGCCTACACCTGCACCCAGTGCGGCAAGAGCTTCGTCCACCAGTCCACGCTCACCACGCACTACCGCACGCACACCGGGGAGAAGCCCTACGAGTGCTCTGAGTGCGGGAAGCGCTTCGGCCGCCTGTCCACGCTGCTGGAGCACCGGCGCACGCACACGGGCGAGCGGCCCTTCCCGTGCGCGCAGTGCGGCCGGCGCTTCGGCCGCCTGTCCACGCTCGTGGAGCACCGGCGCACACACACGGGCGAGAAGCCCTTCCCGTGCGCGCAGTGCGACAAGCGCTTCACACGCCTGGCCAACCTGACGGTGCACCAGAGTGTGCACGCCGGCGAGCGCGCCTTCCAGTGCGCGCAGTGCGGCGCCTGCTTCGCGCACAAGCCCAGCTTCCTGCGGCACCTGCGCGGCCACTCGCAGGAGAAGCGCTTCGCCTGCGGCCAGTGCGGCAAGAGCTTCACCTGCCGCTCGTGGCTCGCGCGCCACCAGGGCAGCCATGCCGGCCGCGCGGCCGCTGCCTGCGTGGCTTGCGAGAAGGGCGCCCCCGGCCCCGAGCCCGCGGCCCTCCTCGCCGACGCTGCGTGGGGACGACCCCCCGGTGGCCCTCCCGCCCCACCCGGGGGCGGGACCCAGGCCCCCAGGGCGCAGGACCACCGCGCGCCCCCCGGCGACGGCCAGCCCGAAGGCCCGGACCAGCCAGGCCCTGGGCGGTCACTGCACTGTTTTCTCTCTCGGGTGAAGATGGAGAACGCGGGGTAGCACCCCGAGAGCGCTCAAAAGGGGTGAGGACGCAGGGCCATTGGTTCCCCTTGAATTCAAGCCGCCCCTCCTGTGAGGACTGCCTAAGGCAAGTCAGAGTGCCCGGTCCAGCCCTCTGCGCCTCCTAGGGGAGGCTGTTCTCAGAAGGACAAAATGCCCAGGGCCACCTTGCCGCACCGGAGACCGGGTCAAGGCACCCTGGAGGAAGGGGAAGAAATAAGAAGGGGAGACTTGATTCTGTCTCTGTCCATCAAGAGACACCTGTGAAGATGTCCGGAGTGTTTTTGTCGGTCATGGGGCTTGAACTCAGGGCTGAGTTCTGAGAACTGAGCGCTGTCCCTGAGCCCTTTTGCTCAAGGCTAGTGCTCTGCCACTTTGAGCCACAGCACCACTTCTTTTTTTTTTTGGTCCAGTTGTGGGATCTGAACTCTGGGCCTCAGCTCTTCAGTCAAGGCTAGTGCCCTACCACTTGAGCCACAGCATCACTTCCGGCTTTTTTCTTTTTGCTTATGTGGTGCTGAGGAATCGAACCCAGGGCCTCAGGCATGCAAGGCAAGCGCTCTACCACTGAGCCACCTTCCCAGCCCCCACAGCATCACTTCTGGTTTTCTGATCGTTAATTGGAGATGAATCTCAGACTTTATTCCCCAGGTTGGCTTCTAACTGCAGTCATCGGATCTCAGCTTCCTAAGTAGCTAGGATTACAGGCGTGAGCCACTAGCATCTGGCTTGGAGTTGATTTTTATTAGCAGACTCAGTGCTTTGAGAGCAAACTTGTTCACCTCTAGCTATGCCTGTGGCTTCCAGCATGCTAATACGTAGAATCTGACGTGGCCTCTGATCGTGCCTCCCTGTAATCACCAAGCCCATGTGCCCCTTAGGTACACAGCCTTAGTGACTTGTGACAGCTTCATGGAAACTCCGATTCCCCCCCTTCCCATTCATCAGGAGCCGGAAAAGACAGTTTTGTGGGCACTTGGTCCTAGAGAGTCTGGCCTGACTGACCCAGCATGCAAGAGCAGCCACCATGTTCCCTATGAGCCACTGTCTTGTTAGCGAAACACTTGCTTTGAGTTGTGGATGGGGGAGGCAGGCAAAGAGTCCACCCTGAGGCCTCAGCCAAAGCTGGCCATTGGAGGCAGAGACAAAACCAAAACCTGCAAGAGGTGATCTCCCTCCAGCAGTGGCACCTGGGGACACTCAGAAACATGAGTCAGGGTGTGAGCAGTGTCACAGGCATGCTGAACATGGAGGGGAAGGAAGTGTGTGTTGCGCCCCAGCAGTTGGAGAGTCCCCTTGGATCCTTAGTGGCCCCTGTCACCCTCTCAGTAGTTGAAGCTAGCTGGGCTGTTGATCTGAAAGTTTGAACTCCTGCTGTTTTGATAAACTCGGGCGCTCCTTTAGCTACCAGATGCGCTCTAAGACCCCGTAGGTTTCACAGCCCCAGGTACTGTCGTCTCATGTCTTACACCGGTACTCGGAGCCGACGCCTGTGTGCTCAGCGGCCCGCTGCAGTGCCTGGCGCTGTTCCTGCCATTCCTTCACTTTGGAGGGCGCGGGTGCAGATGTGGTGAGCTGGGCTGGGCTCAGGGCAAGTGCGATGGCTCCTCACAGCACCACCTGCGCTTCCAGATCTGCTACCTAGAGTTAATTTTCTTGAACTCTGTAATTTGCCATAGTTGCTTGAAACGTGTAAATAAGAAAGTATTTGTGAAAAATTGTAAACTCCTCCCTGTTGCAGACTGTCCGTGTTTCAGTGCATTCGATCTGGATTCTGAATTACAGTTATTTTCAGCTGAGTTTGCAGCCCAGGACAGGGCCCAACGGAAAGTGGGGTCTGGCTGTGCGTGGGGCGGGGCTGCCGGTGCTGGCAGGCAGCGGCCTCCACCTCTGCACTGTGAGCAACCTCGAGAAATTACCTGTGTTTAGGGACTGAGTGAATAAAAAACAGTTTTCATGAGTGGTGCCTTGCCCAGTTTCAGTGTCGTTGATATCATCAAGCCAGTTTCACCAGTGCTTCTCTGCCACTTCTCGTTTTGAATGCTCATTTTTCATATATTAACTGTCTCACCAAGTCTAGGACCCTCTGATTGTGAGACGCCTTTGTTACCTGCTTTCATCGCAGCCGTCTCATCAGGACTGCTTTCAACGCTGGGCGTGAAATGCTTCCCAGCTTAAGACATGGTCCCCAGCGGGAAAAGTACACAAGTGGCAGGTGTCCTTTTAATAAATGACAATTGCATAGGTGACCTACATGTAGCTAATTGCTACTTGTTCTTGACAGTTGGGTCAAATGGTTCATTTTTAGGGAAAAGAAGTGTGTGTGTGTGTGTGTGTGTGTGAATTGTGGGCCTTGAACTCAGGGCCTAGGTGCTGCCCCTCATCTTTTTCTCTTAAGGCTTACACTCTACCACTTTAGCTTCTTTTCTGGCTTCTTGCTGGTTAGAGATAAGAGTCTCAGCCTCCTGAGTAGCGAGGATTATAGGCATGAGCCACTGGTACCCAGCCAAGGAAGGCCTAAGAGGTGAAGCCAGAACAGCATTGGGTCTTGTGAAGATGGGGTAGCAATAATTGAGCCCCAGGATGCTCTTGAATGTGCCCTGGCTTCAGTTATTTGGAATCTGGTTATTTCTGGGCACCAAGCGGTTCAGCTCTAGCAGCAGCTCCAGCCATCACTCCCAGGCCACGGTGGCCTTCATCCAGGGTGCCTGTTCCTCACCCGCAGAGTCCCCTTGGGCCTCCAGGAATAAAGATGACTGGCTCTCTGGCCTCTTAGTAAATGTATTCTAACATTTTGTTGAGGACTGGCCTGTGTTTTCAAGTTGAGAATAAAGTGGTAACAGCTAATGTGCTAGTTGAGATGGGGCATCTGGAGGAGGTAAGCAGTCTTTGTGAGGGCCTTAGGGTAGGGTGGGGTGGTGACCACACCCCTCCCCCCACCCCTCCATGCTCTAGAAGGCCTTGAACTCAGTGCCTGGGTGCGGTCTTGGAGCTTTTTTGCTCCAAGTTGGTGTTTTACCACTTGAGCACAAGTCCACTTCCAGCTTTTTGGAGGTTCATTGGAGCTGAGAGTCTCAGGGAGTTTCCTGCCCAGGCTGGCTTCGATTGGGATCCTCAGATCTCAGCCTCCTGAGTAGCCAGGAGTACAGGCTGGTGTCTGGCTTCCTATGGTGCCCCTAGAAAGAGGCAGCACAGCTCTACCCCAGGAGGACCTGGCAAGGTGCTGGCAGCGTGCAGGGCAGGAAGAGGATCCAGCTGTGCTCAGACTTCAGCCTCCCAAACTGTGAGTGTGAAGCCACAGCTGGAATCGCATGAAAACCTGTGCAGACTGCACCGTCCTCAAAAGGTTTCCGATCTTAATTTCTTTGTTCCTGTGCCTTGCTAGAATGTGCGTGTCTGTGTCTATACTGGGGCTTCAATTCAAGGTCTTCAGGTTGTTTCTCAGCTGTTTTTGCTCAAAGCTGGCACTCTACCACTTGAGCCATCCCTCTGCTTCAGGGTTGGTTTTTTTTTTTGTGGTTTATTGGAGATGAGTCTCACAGGGCTGGGAATGTGGCTCAGTGGTAGAGTGCTTGCCTAGCATACATAAAACCCTGGGTTTGACTCCTCAGTATCGTAGAAAAAGCCAGAAATGGCTCATGGAGGAGTGCTAGCCTCGAGCAAAAGAAGCTCAGGGACAGCGCCCAGGCCTTGTGTTCAAGCCCCAGGACTGGCAAAAAAAAAAGAAGTCAAACTTTGTTGCCCAGGCTGGCTTTGACTTGCGATCCTCAGATGTCACCTTCCTAGCTAGGATCCCTCCGTGCTCGCCGCCCCCCCCCCCCCCCCCCCAGCCAGATGAGGCCTCACTATGTTGTCCAGGCTGGTCTGAAATTCCTGGGCTCAACGGTCCACCCACCTCTGCCTCCTGAGTGCGGGGCACTTCACTTCACACCCTGCCACAGCTTAAATGTTTATTTCTTGGAAATGGAGTCCCAGATGTAGCGTGACTGAGTCAGTGTGGTAAAGACAGATTGCCAAATTGCTTTCCAGAGGGGTGTAGAGGACTGAGGATATGGGGAGCACACAGCCTTGCTGTCTTGCTACGTCAGTGCTAGCTAACGAGCGAAAACGACAACATGGAAAGCCGTGACACAAGCAGTAACTCTCCATCTGGAGAGGGGTCCAAAGAGGAGTCCTATGTTTTAGTAACAGCCTCTCTCTCTCTCCTGTCTTTCTCCTTCTCTTCCTCCCTCTTTCTCTTCCTCCCCCCTCCCCTTCTCCTCTTTCCCCCTCCCTTTCCCTCTCTCTCTCACCCTCTCTCCCTCTTTCTGTGGTCTTACTGTGTTGTCCTGGCTGGTCTTGAACTCCTGGGCTCAACTAAATTCCCCACCTAAGGCTCCCAAGGAGCTGGGAGCACAGGCGTGTGCCCTCATGACTGGCTCAGCACCTGACAGGAGAGAATTCTGATAGCGTTGGAGCTCCTGGCAGTCAGCTGCTTCTCTGCTATTTCTATTACTGTAGCCTAAAAAGATACATTTATTTTGCATGAGATGAAATTAAATGTCTGCTGCTCACAGCCAAAGTCAGCAGAAGCTGATTCTAAAGGTAAACGGGTATTAGTGAAAAGCACAGTGGCAACTGGAGAAACCGCTCAGCGGCGGTGCAGTCTGTCTTTGGGGAGACGGCAGTATTTGAGGGCAAAGGTGGTAACAATAAGGAAACAATGGGAAAGTGTAGGAGCTTGAGAAATGGATGCTGAGTAAACAGAATCCACAGCTGTCCACAAGAGGGAGCGAGATGACCGGAAGGAAACAAAGCTTCGGTCCAGTGATTTGTGAGTTGGAGGATGCAACAGGAAAAAGAGATGAGAAGTGTTTCCATCATCATGTGATGCCAAACCTGGGCTGAGCATGCGCCTTCCTCATAATCCACCCCACCTGCAGGCCAGTGTTTCCCTGCCCCTGCAGCTTTTGCGGACTTCTCTCCTGCTCCCCATGCTGCTGGAAGATGCACCAGGAAAA